GGGGGGGGGAGGGGTGTTTTGAAATTTCAATACATATCGGGCGGTCAGTATGTATCGTATTGGGGGTTTCTTGATATACCCCTACATGGGGTTTAACCCGGTTCAGGGCGTAGACAGGCCTTACACTGATCCCTCTGAATCAGGTTTAAAAAAACTAAAAAAGGAGAGCGAGACCCCGATACAGTCTGATACACCCCTACCAGAGCGAGTAAAACTTGTGTACTATTCTTGATGGTTCAATCTGCAATGTACTGTTACTCCCATCTTATTTATTTTTCAACAAAAAAATAAAGAATGTATTACTTTATTCAGTTGAAATTTTTGAGACAAGGAGCTTTTGGTTCAACGACTCCTATTGTTTTTCCATATGCATTATTGCAGTTGGCATTGAGTTGTTTTCCAGGACTAGCTGCTTCTAATTTTATTGACTCTAACCTTATTCCGGTGCAAGCAGCACGGTCGCTGCAGTTGAGATTGATTGCCACTTCACTTCTTGATGTTCCAATCATTCCATTGTAGGTCACTTGGCTTATTTTAACACCAGTCGGCTGTAATAAACATACAAATTTATCAATTTATATCTATGTGAAATTGTGAAATGAGAGAGAGAGAGAGAGACCATGTCCTTGCATCCATAAGGTATGTTGCAGTAGTACTGATCAATAATTATAGGGTTTTCCACAGTGGTGAAGTTTATATTCTCAAATGTAATTCGTTGAGCGTATCCTTTTCCTCCCTATCAAATAAAGAAACAAAAACCAGAAGGGAAAAAGGTTATTGTCACCCACAAGATGTGATTTACAAATTGAACAAGGTTGAAATTCTTGGAACTGGCCAATCCAATTTGTAGTTGGTTCCAGAGTTCTGGTTGAACTTGGTTATCTTCAATCTAGCCTAATTTAGCTGAATAAAATATAAAGTCTGAAACGACCCAGATTTTTGGCAAATGGTCTATAGGGTACACGGTCAGATTTATTTCAATTTTTTTTTTTTAATTTAGGCCTTTTCAGGTAGGCCGGTTTTAAACCGATTGATCCATTACCACAAGAAGGTTCATATCTACCACAAGAGTGGAGATGATGGTTTCTGATTTTATACCTGCCATGTCTTAATTCGTACTCCATTCGTAGTATTGAAGAAGTAGGCGTGTCCCACATAAATATCTTCCACTTGCACATAACTTCCTCCATTACCTAAGCTTCCAATACTATATCAGCAGTACAAGTGCAAAAATACACATTAGAATGTCATATATAGAGGTCTCAGGAGATAGAACTATCACATCAATCGATAGAAAGCTACGGTCTCAGCACTAACACCCAACAGAAAGTAGAGGCATGAATGGACACCCATTTATCTGATACCCAAATCCGGCCAAAGTTGGTAGGGCTCCTTTTAAACTTTTGGGGCACTACTAATCCTCTACATCTCTACTGAGACAAGAGGATACTGGGCCAGCCATGAAATCCCTTATCATTCAGATACTTTTGGCTATGAAGCTGGCATGGTATATCATGATTATGAATAGAACTGTATGCAGTTCAAACTCCTACATTAGGTTCTGAATTAGTGTAGTTGGGAATATTTCAAGGACCAAACACAGAGATAAAGAGAGAATGTGTTCATATGGATGAGAAAAAATAGGAATTTTTTCTGAGAAATCATAGAAAAAAATTACACCCACCTTATACCGTGACCAGGCCCACAAAAAATACCTTTGATACTAACATCTGATGTGTGATCTCCAACTGAGATACAGTCATCACCTGATAACCATCACAGAGAAACTCATGAGTCTGTAGTAGGGGAGAGAGAGAGAGAGAAAGAGAGAGAGAGAGAGAGACCACTGGCAATGTTTGCCCTACTGATGAAGACATGTTGAGAGGATTGAATGTGGATTCCATCAGTGTTTGGACTGAAATCTGGAGAGTTGATGATAATGGTGTCAAGATGAAACCAATCACACCCGATTATGAGGACATGAGTCTGTGCACTATTGATTATATGAATGTTGTAGAGTTGGCATCCTTTGCAGGAATCGAAACGGATGGCCTGGGAACAATTGTGACTTGTGAGTACAAGGAGCCCATTTGAGTTTACTAAAATGGACCATATAAAGACCGCAAACAACCAAAAAAAAAAACTAATATCAAATCTAAATCTAACCCATTTGCTAATATCAAGAAGGGCCTAATAAGAACGGCTTGTCTCACCAAAGAAGAAGAACGGGTTGGGTAAAACCCAATCAACATGGATACCCTATTAACATCCCCAAAGGATAACTAATCAACTGTAGGCAGTGCGGGAGTTAATTTTGGCTGTTGGGGGTTAACAGCCAATGCTCTGTTGAGAGTGTTTTTAGGGTGGACATGTTCACCAATTCACGGCCATGTCTATGTTTATGGGAAAAGTTTTAGCTGTTGGAGACCAACAGTCTATGCTATTGAGAAAATTTTTGGGAATGCCACATTATCCTGAGAATGGATAAATTAATAATTACATCTTAATTTATTTTTACTAAAAATCTAAGCATGGACGTGAATAGGTGAACTGCCGAGAATGTGCCCAATCCAAAAACTGTCTCGACAGCCTATGCTGTTTGGCCCCAACAGCCAAAGTTAACCCATGTTTATGGTTAAAAAATAAATAAGGGGCAATTATTATTTCACCGCATTCTATGGTAACATGTCATTTCCAAAAATGTTCAAAACAGCATAGGCTGTTGGCCCCCAACAGCCAAAGTAGTTCAAAACAGCACGTCACCATTACTGTGGCAGTTAACATCCAGACCTCGCTGATAGATAATGAAGTACTTCAGATCAGATCTGGTCCTTCTGTAAAGTATTCCCAATCCTTTCTACTGTCGCAGCCCAGCCAAGCAATTTGGATAAGCTCAACACGAAGGCTGTGTAGAGGGCTGTGGAATCAACGATAATGCCCCACACCAGTGATAACATATTTGAAACCACAGTGAGAGATTCAGTAGTTGTGGACCTCATATTTTTTAACTGGTGTGGAGTGTTATCATCTCAGATACAAGTTACTTTTCTTGGGAGGCAAACCTAATATTTCAATGAAAACGTCCCTATTTAAGGAGTATTGAATTGTCAAATTAGAAGAAAAAAAAATATGTTCACCTGCCAAAGAATTTTTTCAATGTTTAAAAAAAAACAAAAACATTTTTTCAATGTTTCTTTTATTTAAGAATCAATTTATTTTTGAAACTCACAATAAAACCAATTCATATTAGAGAGCACCCACATTTAGATGCACAGTAAAGTTTATTAGTAATCACTTGCCAAAGAGAATTATGTTTTGAAGACAATACTTACAGTTGGTGCCAACGTGGTGCAACCCTAGAAAATTAATAAATCAAGTTAGTTTAAATATAAAAAGAAAATAAACAAATTGAGATATTGTAGGACTGCAACTCATCAAAAGAACTAAGGGTTTGTTTGGTTAATAGTCAAAATCGAAATTGGAATCAGAAAGGAAATGGTCTATTTCCACAATCTGTTTAATTTAGATAAGAATTAGAATAGAAATTGAAATCAATTATAATAAGATTTCATTTTCAAAAGAGAGGAAAGAAATAGCCATTCCCTCAAATAGGTGAATGCCATTCCACCAATAATAGAAATGGGATTCAAATGCCACCCAACCAAAACAGCTGAAACTGAAATAACCTATTCCTGTAAACCTAAAACAGGACCTAATATACATTTTTATATAGTTTCATGCACCTGAACATGATGATATCTGCAAGACTGATCCCACCAGGCAGAACCGCGCCCATCAACTGTGCCTGGACCACTAACACTGAGTCCACTAACCTTGGCGAACCTTATCCATGTGCTTTGGTCCTTCCCCTTCCATGCATCAGTTTTGCTCGGTGCAATGATATTTCCTATTATCTACAAAAAAAGAGGTAAAAGTGGTTATTTCGATTTTCGTATTGAGACTTCAACTTTTCCAATTCTATCTCATATTTTCAATGTTTTCAAAATCAGACCGGAAAAATTGGGAATCAGTCACCTCCGTTTAACCTCAAAACTATTTTTTGGCCAAAAACTGTTGATTTGATCAGCGAATCGCTGACCTGGGTGGTTGGACCATCAAATCGTTCAACCAGGAACAGTTTTTGGCCATTTTTTGAATTTTTAATTGGGTTCTACTATAATATGGAAAAGATATGATATGAGAAAAACAACTGACCAATAAACTGAAATAACATGAAAAGTTACACAGAGATGCATGAGATTCTCATCACTTATTTTTAATGTATTTTTCTTGTTCTAATTCCAAAAACAAGGGGAAAATGCAAGGTTTTTAAAATCGGACCAGACAGGGAATCATTCTGGGTCCGGTTCTTGGGTCGAAGGGTACGACCATCCCGTCCAAACGAACAGCCCTCTCTGACAAAAAAAAAACAAAATTAAAAAGGGAAAATCTATGATGCAGATTTTCATGGGTTTTTACACTCTTACAAACTCTCTCCTTACATCCCCTTTCAACTACCTTACCCATTCTTATGCTTTTAATCAAGGTTTTTAAAACCAACCCGAATAACAAATCGGTTAGGGGTTCGGTTCCCTGGTTAAAAAACGGTTAATACCATTGAATGGATTGAATGCCCGGATCAGCGATTTATTGACCAAACCAATATTTTTTGACAAAAATCTGATTTTGATGAAAATAAAACCGATCACCTGACCGATTCTCGGTTTTTCCGATCCAACCGTCCGGTTTTGAAAACCATGACTTTACTACATCCGTATTAAAAAAGGAGACCAGATTAATTAACTGAATGCAATGGCTGCGTAACCCACCATAGTTTTAAAAACCGGATCGTCAGACAATCAGACTGTTGGGGTTGGGAACCGGTCAGTACTCCAGGTCCGGTTTTCAAAATTATGGGTGAGTTATAAAGCCATTGCATTCAGTTAATTAATGGTCTCCTTTTTAATATGGATGGTCAAATGGTCTGACCACCCGGTCCAAACCCCTAGAAGGTATATTTGGTTAAAAAACCCTGAATCCATAATGATAATATACTTTGTGGTAAGATATGAAATTTGTACTAGAGACCTGCGATCAAATCCTACTTGCATCAAGGTTGGAGGGTTTATGGGTTATCCAAGGTTTTCTATCTTCATGGAACGAGAAAGAGAGAGAGAGAGAGAGCGCTCTGCTTTAACCTGTCTTACTCTCATTAATTATTTATCTTTAATTAAAAAGAAACAGATTTAAAGACAATATATATATATATATATGTATATATATAAATAGAAATATAATTATGAAAATGCATTTAAAATTTTATTTTTTATCTTTTAATTAGAAGAAATAACTGTAGAATCCCCTATGTCCTACATCCGTTAAAAATAGATGGTAATGGCAAGAGTAGAGCCAGCAGCACTTCGATCACTCTTGCCATTAATTCAAACCTTTGCACTGCACCAGTCACTGTTAGTATAAAATATAACAAAAAAATTCAATGAGAATCTTGATGTGATTGGAAATTCAATACAATTTGTGAAAATGTTAAGATTGTTATTCATGATTTTTCACAATTAAGCAAAGCTTCTCTTCATTTTTTTTTTTTTTTAATTCCAGTCTACCTGAACGCTGATTTTCTTAGCCATGCAAGGGCCATCGAAGGATATTGGATTCACCAAAAATGTTTTCCCGCTTGGAACAACCATGGTAGGAATGCCTGTTGGTGTCTTACACATTGCACTCCATGCTTTCAAGACTGCCTGAAAATAAGAGAGAGAGAGAGAGAAAATTAATACCATTGCCAGGAGGAAATTCAATTGAAACTTGGGTCCTGAAACACCTGTAAATAGGCATATTGGGACTTACTAGTATTGATTTTTTGAAACTTACTAGTACCTGGGAATCATCTGTACTACCATCACCTGCAGCTCCATAATCTCTCACATTAAAGTAAGAAATCACATTGGCATTTGAACATACCAAAATCGACCAAACCTTGGTGAAAACAAGTGCAAGAGCTAAAATACCCTACAAATACAAGAAAAAAAATGGAGTTCTCCCGAATGTGAGCAAATGACAGAACCCAAAGTTGTGCCTTGTAAAGTAGAACCATTCATTCCTACAAGATAAAATGATTTCACCATGAGATTGACAGAAGTTTGAGGATCGCCCAAATGTGTTCTCAGTCCTCCACTTTTTTTTTTGAATGAGTGATGTGTTTGATTACACAAGTTCAGCCTCATTTTAAAACTTTACTTTCATTGATATATATGGCAACATAGTTGTATGCCTTAGAGTCCTTTAAATTGCTGCCATGAGTGATTGGAAATCTTGGAAAATCAGTGAAATTAATGCCAATTCAAATTCTACTTTTCAATTTCACAACTTCACCCTATAGGACGTAAATTAATGCCAGTTTTTATAGGCAAGAAGGCATTTATCCAATATATAATTGGAAGTGTATGGCTGAATTGCTGTCATATTCGGTCTTATCTGTATGCTCAAAATTAATGGAGTTCTTCTATTAATATGTCCAAACCCAAGAAAAAAAACAAACATAAGATGCCTACAGTCAGGAATCATGATCCTTGTAAAGTTCACTGTTCTCAACACAATAGAATACAACTAAGAACATGCATGAAAATTCATAAAGCAAATACCCAAAATATCCGCATACAGACGACGTTTTGCTTTGCAACAAGACCCTCTAACCCAGCTTAGCTGCCAAATAAAGGTTCCTTCTAAGTTAAAATATGGAGGATACACAGAGATACCTTCAAGTGGGTATTATACCGATATGGTATATCCAAGCATATCTAGATACACAGATACCAATATCATATGTCTGATATAAAATCGATATTTTAATTCTTATACATCAGATGAGATTCATAACTAAATTAAAAGATTTCCAGTGCCAAAAATCAAGACATGCACATGCAGTTATGTGATATCCAAAACATATAGAAGAATACATTACTTGGAGAGAAAAACACTTTTTGCGAAGGAAACAGTAGAAACTAGAAATACTGCTAATAATATTAAACTGTACCCCCTCCTTGTACATTTCTCAACGAAATTTCTGCCGATCTGCTAAATCTGTTGCAACCAGATAGTTTTCCTCTTAGACTTGTAATGTTTCTATTATTGAGTAGCCCAGGAAATATGCTCATGATGGTCATGACCATGGTTTTTAAAGCCGATCCAGAGAGCTAACCGGTCAGGGGTCCGATTACTGGGTCAAACAGTCGGCCCATTCTGATAAAAAATATTAAAAAATAATCAAAATCGTTCAAATGTTAACCGCCCAGGTCAGTGGTTTGCTGACCAAAATCAACGATTTTTTAAAAAATCCGATCACCTGACCAGTTCCCGATTTTTCTGGTCTGACCATCCGGTCCGGTTTTGAAAACCATCATCATGACAAATATTTCTAAGACGATAAAGTTCACACAGTTGGCTAAGAATAAATGAACTTCTGTTTCTTCATCATATTTTCCATAAGATAGCTAATTCCGTGACACTGCGGGCAATATTAACTGTCTCACACATGGATTCATGGAATGGTCAATGAAGACGCTTTTCAAAATCGGTATATTAGCCTTGCGATGTGTCCAGTGATCTTTGTTTTGATCATTTACAGACAGCAAATATGAAACAGAACCCATTGTCTAAATTTTTCAGATACCAAGGGGCGATTGAGTCCCTCCAGGCTCCAACAACGTTTGTCTTTATTATCTTTTCCAACTGATAAAGCAAAGTAAAAATGTTAAATTAGTTCATCAATAAATGAAGGATTTATGGACCAACGTATTGGTCAATTAGGTTCAGTTCGGGAAATAACCCCCAAAAAGCAAGTGGGAAAGATATGCCACTTGTATTCCTTCCAAACTGAGCCTTAAGAAATAACCCCCAAAAAGCAAGTGGGATGGATATGCCAATGCGTGGTAAAAACTTAAAATGGAGAATTTTAAATTACTGCCCCCCGATAACCATAAAGGAAGTGTTAAAATGGAGATAATATGGGAAACCATTCTTTGAATTCACTTCATTCAAATTTATCCAACTGGCCAGTCTTATAGAAGAAGAATGAGAGGATAATGGAATGAAAAAAGACTTTAAGCCATTATCACTATTGTAGTCGACATCAAAATTTTCTTGCACGTCGTTTGATTTGTTGATTGGAGAGTGGAGACCAAGGCGGAAGAAGAATGAAATGCCCCACACAGATTAGTCTTATAGTATCAAATTTTGAAACAAAGGCACTAACACAATAGCAGTAGCAGCATCAGAAAAAACTGAAAAAGAACCGAAGCAGGAAAGTTTCCACCACTACTGTTGCCTTGCCTGTGACCTTGGCTGATTCTGCAATAACGGTGGCGATGATTATCAATTCAACTCCTCTTCCTCAGTAAAGTTGATTCAATCTTGTGCGAGTGACGTTCAGAGAATTGAAACCTCGTAAGCTGCTCCAAGGCTTCTTGGTCAGCCAATCTGATTAGATCCGTCATCTGAAACGATCAAAAGCAAGAGGGGCACCCCCAAAGTTTTCCACATTGATCCAAACGATTCCAGCGGCCGCGAGCAGCTACTCGAGCCAAGCTTGTGCCCAATGCTCATACATACATACATATAAAATTATATATAATAATAATTAATTATTATTATTATATAAATAATTATAAAAAATAATATATATAATTTTTTTTTTATTTTCATATATAATAATAACTAATTATTATAATTCTTACCTTTTAACTATCAAATAAAAAATATTTTTTATATATAATTTTTTAATTTTTATAAAAAAAAAAAAAATTTCTAGCCAAGCCAAACCAAGCTCGAGCTTACGAGTTCGAACCTTGTACTCCCTTGGTGAACCGAGCTCAAACCTTGTACTATTCGACTCGAGCCAAATCCACCCCCTAAATTCCGCACACTGTCGAACAACCCCACTCAACCAGTTGGATAGTTCACCGTACCCCAACTTCTTCAAGTCTTCAACATATACATGTTATGCAGACGACAACAGCTTGCCTCTCTCTCCTAATAAAAAAAAATGTACTGAAGCAGGCAGAAGTTACACATTAAAAAAATATATGCGCTTTCAAGGGTGGTAAAAAAGTAAAATTTCTGCAATAACAGAAAGGCAGCTCAAATCTAACAGACTAATACTGTTGCAGCAACGTTATTAAATTAGCAGATGCCAAATTAACAGAGATCCACGGGAACTAGCTAGCTATGGGGTATTTTACCAATTATCCAAGTAAAAAATTTCAGCCTAGATTTAGTAATCTATCACATTTGACACTCAACTACCTTCCCCAATCAAAAACTACAATAATAAAATTACGTAGAACACACAATTTCGTTCTCTCCCGGCGTCCCTCTTTAGAATCAGACTTTGTTAATCTACATCCATCGAAACACCTCCATCATATTATATGCTTGTGTCCACACGACTGTCGACTTTGTGCTGTCCTCCATTTGACAAGGCAACCTAAGCTAGCTCTTCATCCCCCTAGATAAATTTACACCGAGGCCTCAATGCCGCTCAATTAACTTCCATCAAGATGGCACTGCAAACAAGAAAACAAATGAAACCCTAAGAGATGGATAAATCAACCCAAAATGGGAGACCAAGGGTGAAAAATCAATCACAATGTAAGCGACATATTAAAAACAAGGCAACTTGATTGATTCTGTATTAAACCAAGCACAGCAACTCTATGACCCACTAAACTAAAGCCATAGTCGAGGTAAAATCCAAGCGAATACTTTTACTGGTTCATGAACTTTAAGGAAAAGAGACATACTGTATGTGGAAGTATCGATTTGCTCTGGGAGCTCTTTTATATCCACCTCAAACCGTTCCTGAACCTGCATTCCAATTTCCAACCAACCAACAATAATGATATCCACAAAGAACTTTTCACCAGAGCCAGAAAAGGAAGTTCCATTTGAAAGTTTAATATTCTTACCTGATTCAGAACATCAGAGTCGGAAGCAGATGACACAAATGTTATTGCAAGCCCCTTGGTGCCAAAACGACCTGCTCTTCCAACCTTTTTATGACATTCAAGAAGAAAATACAGCTTTAATATAACTTATTAGGGCACGATGAAACATCACCAGAAGTAAGAGATCAGATGGGGGGAGCCTACCCTATGCAAGTAGGTGTCAGCAGAATCTGGCATGTCATAGTTGATAACAATGTTAACACGTTCAATGTCTATCCCCCTGCCAACCAAGTCCGTTGCAACAAGAATTCTTTTATGCCCTTCCTTGAATCCTTTGTAGCGTGTCAGCCTGTAAAAAGCTGATACAACTTAGATATCCTCGTTAAAAATCCAGAAAACTAACGGAACTTTTTTCCATGACTTATAGTAGGAATAATAAGTGTCTGTGTGTGTCTATCTATCTATCTATCTATATATATATATATCAATTCAAAGACGATGAATCAGAAGCAGCTATGCTAATACACATTACAAAGTCAAAAGGAAACTCAACAAAAGAAAACAGAGATTTTAGAGAAAATCATGTAAAATAATATCAGGCTTTGAAGCCCCACATTAAATTTTGGAACTTGGTTCCTAAATTAACATGCTTAGCTATGCAGAAATGGAAATTTTTGGGGGATATTTTTTGTTAATTCAATTAAAATATCTGGAAAATCTAATAAAATTAAGAGAAAGGAATAATTAAAATATCTGGAAAATCAGAAGCATGAAATTTGCTAATGAAACTTCATGGATTCAGAAAAAGGAATAATTACACATATAAAACTCCAAACACCATAGCAAAAATGTGCATATCAATTAAGATAATATTAAGAACCAACATATCTACTTCCCCTGTTTTTCTTTTCATTTAACAATGGATACAGCATAAAATTGGGATAAGGCCTGGTTTCTTGTAACTGAGCCGATAACATTGGAATAAGGCTTGGACGATAATAACTCATTAGATTAAGAATCCTATTTTCCTGTTGTTTAGCTTTTTTTCTATTTTTAAAATCATAATAATTTGGTAAGTGACTATGTTTAGGGTTGCAAGTTAGATACCTGTCTCTCACTTTCCCTTGAAATCCATGGCACTCCTTCCTCTTTAAACTGTAGTCTCAGATGGATTCCAAGAGAATTGAATCAAATGGCAGATAGATAAGCTAAACCTGGGATGGAAGGGATTCTAGTATAATATGAATACATTCCCATTTTAATTGTATAGGCTCATGCTTTTTGTTAGTTCAGTGCCCACCAAAAATTTTCAATGAAATATCGGAAAGTTCCATTTATGTTCTAAAATTTTAAATCCTAGATGTTTAACAATAGCATGTGAAATAATCCTAATATGTTGGCAAGATAAAGGTTATACAAGGGTGAAAAATCTAGGAATATTCCATACTGCTCCTAGCAAAATGGGGAGATTTCACAAAATATAACCAATATTTTCATTAATTAAGAAAGTACATTTAAAATAATAATACTCCCGAAGATGCTTTAGAGAAGTAGGACTATAGGAAGAAAACAGCCATTTGCTTATTGTACGAATGTATTAACAGTGTAAAAAACAGTTAAAGATTTCCCTTTAGCCTTGCCATTCTCAATTCTACCTCATTTTTTGAGTACTCTCGTGTTGACTCCAATAGTATTTAAACTATCTGCCCAAGCTGTTGGCAGACCTGGATATACAACTGACAAACAGTTCCAATTGGATGGCAAGGCTGTAGCCTCTGTAAATTGAGCTCTAAGACACCAAGGTCCTTAAGCTGTTCATAGAAGACAACAACCACTAGTTGATAATCTCCTTTGATAGCAAATAATTACAGTCAATCTCACATGATAGTTTCTGTGGTTATAGCTTCTCCCTTCATTACCATTCCAGCTGGGCCTGCATAGCTCAACAAAATGATTAAATTATGATCTCTAAAAACTCCCCATACACCTGATTGACCCAGGTTTTCCAAGGAAACTACCACCAAAATTCAGTTTAATGCATCCTCAATGCGGCACTGCCCATAACTTGTATATTACCTGTCTTTCAGGAGAAAAGCAATTTGACCACAAACCACTCTCTTAGAATTAAAACTTGAATTCCGATCTTCACCTAATGTGAAAACCATATACGAAGTCTATAATGGCTCCTATATCTTGACATTTATTCTCAAAAGTTCTGGAATTCTGTGCAGACCTAACATTCCATAGAACTGCAGCCCTCATAGTGCCAAAGAATCTTCTTTTAAAGTGATAGGGAAAAGTTGGAGAGAAAGAAAGCTCTACATCTTCAGTGTCAGACCCATAAATGCCAAAGGGTCAAAAAAGTGTTGCTATACCTTTGTGATGCAAGGACACTCTAAAAAGAGGTGAACTGCATTCCCACTACTCATCAAAAATGGATTTGAAGAGGTATGCCCCACTTGGTCCTTCATTGGATCATGTCACCCATGTTGATCATCTTCAAAGTTCAAACAATTCCAATGAAAGACTTCACCTTCTGAAGACCAACCCCCAAAGAGCTCTCACTGGAAAAAGGGGAGGGGAGGTAGGAGACATATTAAGAATAATTAAAAAGGAAGGACAAGAAAACAACCCCAGGATATTGGGGGCCTAAATTCTTTGATAGGAGACATGTGAAGAAAGAAAAGTGGAAGTTAAACATTGAGAAAGTTAATAACCTCAAGACTTTTGTTGTCCCTCAAACCCTTCCCATAACCAAGACCCCAAGATATTCTCAAAGAAGACAAGGACGTGATGTTGGATACAGGCCTCTTCTTATGAAATCAGTTGATGCAAATATTCTCATGTACAGTCATTTTTATATTCTCTCTCTCATTTCAGCAAATACAATTATACTTTAACTTTTCTCACAAAAAAAAAGGATTCTCATGGAGGAGATTTGAAATCTCCTTTTCTTGATTTAGGGTCATTCCTACAATATCGAAATTACCTTAAACCTGTGTGAAAGCTAATAAGCTATCGAATGATCGATACTAAAGTTCTTGAGTAGTTAGAGCCAATAACATTAGCATAATTCACCCCCAAGGACAATAACCAACCTCACACTCCACCCCGCACCCCCCCCCCAAAAAAAAAAGAAAAAACAAAACTTGATCCTAAGAAAGCCCCTGTTCACCCTTAAACTATTAAAACCCCAAATACTCTAAACGCATTCCCTATTAGAAGCATCTTCACTATTAAGATAAAATATTCCAACAACTCTCAAGAAATTGGAGTTAAAACATGAGAAAACAGCAATAACAAAGTCTGAATACACTCAAAACATACATGACTGAGCCATTCAACAGGCCCAAACCAACTATCAATTAGAGAGAAACAACCAAATAAGAAAAGTAAGACTAATGTCCATTAAAGATGATACAAACAATCATAATTTTAAAGAACCAATAGAGTTGAAATAGGAGTCATTGCATGGTGAAATCATAAAATCTCAGCCTGACAAGGATGACAATGTGGTTTCAAGCCTAGCATTGCTAACCATAAAAGAAAATGCTTAATGCTTTTTGAAATTGAGGAGAGTTCCAATAAGTCAGCAACATCATTTTTTATTAGCATCTCAAAAGGCTTTTTTTATTGAGTATATAAAAAAGGCTTTAATTGAGTGTGCTATAAATATAAAGTTCAAAAAACAATGTTGTTCCTAACCTTTCTTCCTGGGACATCCCAGAATGGATGCAGATGGATGGGAAATTACACTCAACAAGTAATTTGTTCAGCTCAGCTGCTCTGCTCACACTTTTGACAAAAATAACAACTTGATTGAAGTCCAATGCATCCAGGAGGTCATTCAACTTGCGATTTTTCTCCAGTTCACTCAATTTAATGTAGTGCTACAGGTAAAACGATAACAAAAGAGAGATTATTAACCAAATATAATATATAATATATATAGCAGATTTAAACTTCAGTTTGTTAGGGATACCTGTACAAGACCATGAAGAGTCAACTTGGCCTCATCATCGACATAAATTTCCATTGGCTGAAAGGGAACAAATGTCACATTAAAGGAGATTAGGAACCTTCCTCAGGCTAAAAGAATCCAGTACCAAATGAATGATGAACGAACAACTCTTGACCCATGACTCCAATCCTTCTGATTTGAAACATAAGCAATATGCCTTCGCACCAACACTTTAAGGTCACATAAGTAAACCCCACTTCCTCAACTTAGATCATAGTATTATGCAACCCAGACTACAGTCAGAAAAGCCCATCCAGACACTTCTAGCCTATAATAACAGGAAAAGTTTCTACAGCAATAACTCAAAAGCACAACTGACCAAAAATCACTTGCCCAATAAAATTAAGTGCAGATTAATGGACACTAAAACCTAAATCCCCTAAAAGGATACAATCAGTGGCTCCTAATACCCTGGGATTACCCTAGTAAAACCTATTTCCCCACTGGAGTTACTAAAGCTACCTACAAAAGACATTGCTCAGGGCAAGCATGGCTGTTCTGGAACCCATCGTGGTTGTTATTGTTGGTAAGTCTCTTGCAGAAAGTTGGCATAATAAAATTGTTGACGACTAAAAATTTGATGAGTATTGACCACAGGACATTACATCTTGCATGAACCTCTTGCAAACAGGCCGGATCTCTTTGCTGAGTGTTGCTGAAAACATCATAACTTGCTTATCATGAGGAGTCATCTTAAAAATCTCCTGCACGTCTCTCCGCATGTCTGCAAAACATGACAACCATGAACTAAGATCAGCAATGAAGAGACAAAATAATATATGAGATGCAAAACTGCACCCTTAATCACTGAAATATTATATGAACCAATGATTTTAAGATGGTAAACTTACCAAGTGACTCAAGCATCTTGTCACACTCATCAAGGATAAAATGCCTTACATTCTTCAATGCAAGGTCCTTATCCCTTGCTAGTGCCAAAATCCTCCCAGGTGTCCCAACAACAATGTGAGGACACTCATTTTTAAGTAAATCCTTGTGAGTTTTGATATTGACACCACCGTAGAAAACAGCAACCTTAATATCGGGCAAATAGGTACTGAACCGCTCAAACTCATGACATATCTGCAATACATAGTCAACAAGTATTAATGGAAAAAATTAATGAATGGTATGGGAGTTTCTTAATAGTTATTTTAAACATGAAGAACCAAACAAACACAATATGCATCAAAAAGAAGAATCAAGTATTATACAAACCTGGTAAGCTAATTCTCTTGTATGGCATAGAACAAGTGCAGCAACTTGACCTGCAACAGGCTCAATCTGCTGCAAAGTTGATAGAACAAAGACAGCAGTTTTTCCCATTCCAGACTTTGCTTGGCAGATGACATCCATTCCCAATATGGCCTGAGGAATGCACTCATGTTGCACTGATGAAGAACCAAACAAAATTGGAGTGAAGGAACCCTCAGTAAGTAAAGCATGTCCTCCCTATCCTTTTAATCAAATGTTTACCAAAGAAGTTATCTCTCCCAAAATCAAGAATATGAAAATAGTTGTGTTACCTGAAAAACATCAAATAATACAAGTCAGTAAAGTAAATAAGTCACGTCAAAAGATATCATTTACAGAACTAAAGTACTTATATGATCTGAAAACTCAAAAATAAATACAAATATTTACAAAAAGAGAAAGGAAGTCATACGACATATAGAAAAGTGGACTATGTCAATCAATAATAGCCAACTACCAAGTATAAAACAACATCTTTAAATGTATTAACTTCCCCAGCAACCACCAGTTTGTTCCCTAAAATAATAAAAAAAGGAACCACATGGTCTCTGCCACATGTTCCAGGATGAACCTCAGTGATTATAGATATCGTAAAGAAGATAATGAAAACTAAGCAGATCCAATAGCTGCCTATCATTTATTAGCAATAATACATAGAGTCCAGATCTCCTGACAAAAAACTGTTCCAACATGACCTGTGTCTGCACATCTTGTACATGGTGGGTCCAATTCTTATGATGAGATTTGTGGTGACAGATCATGTTGGAAGTGTATTGAGACAATTTTTGTTGGGAGGAGATCCCAAATATATTACATGATACTTGTGGCTGAAAGATTAGATTCTCTGAACCATTGGCCAAACAAAGTGCTTTATGTTTGACCCAAGTTATTTAAAGAAGGGCACATATATAAAAATACTGCTAGTTTTTCTATTACTTATGAATGAAAAGAGTAATTGAACAATTGTGTTATCCAAAAAATAGAATTACACAGTTTTCAGACATGGTAGTTTACACAAAAGACCAATCACTTACCCATGATACAAACATGAGATGAAATGGCAGATGCATAATTCATACTTTAAACTGAAGCATCCAACATTGAACCATGGCACAGTATGACATGTTTGGTAACATTGATAACTGTAACTATGAAAGGCTTCAGGGTTATTAGATAGATGTAAATTATTTCAGCTCCAAACAACGTATTATCCCATATAAAAAAATAAAGATTCCAAACTTACATCTTCTGTTATCAGTGCTTCAGATCCACTTGCTCCAAACAGCTTTTATATTGCAAAAAATATCTAGGATGCAACTAAATACAACATTTTTCCACTTGAAACTGAAAAATTGTTGGTACAGTATAGATTGACGTTTTTTTTTAAACAACAGAAACTGTACATGAGATGATGTACCAGTATATCACCTTAACCCCCCACCCCCCCAAAAAAAACATCCACCCTCAAAAAAGAAGAGGATAAAGCATCATTTTTAAATACAGTATGAATGGATAACCAGCTTCTAAGATCCTCTGCTACCCTATTTATCACCCCTGATTCTGTTGATGCATTTTGTTCAAAATTCTCAGATTTCTTTCAGTTTCAGACCAAATGGCCCACAAAATAACCAAAGGAAATGCTGACCAACAAACTTACGGAGTTTTATATCTAGCCTAATAATAAGGCATACAGGCCCACGCCAGCATGCATGCATACATGCTCATAAAAACATATATGTATGATTACTAAAAGTTCACATCACCAAAATGTGGTTGACTGGTCAGCATGCACCAACCATAAACTCACATTATTCACAACACCGTTGCATATTTTTATTTTTGAAAGAAGGTAAAGTATGATTGTATTAATAACTGGTCCTGTGTACAACGAGTAACTAAAAAGTTTGAACTTTAATTTAAGGTGGTAGAACTCCGTCCCCCTTCTGAAGTCAATCTAAGGATGGAATATGATAATCAGACCTTACTTGTATTTCATCTCTTTCATTTCTTTCCTCTTATGTTCTTCATAGTTATCTCAAAAAAAAACAGCAAGAATAACTTGTGGGACCTTAATCATAGTAATCCCTTTGTTTTGTACAATCACCATATTAAAGTGTTCACGGTACTTTATAAGTTTATAGAACATATTGGATCTTGATGATTTTCTGGTTTCATAAAGAGATATGGTTAAGAATTTGCCTTCTGAAGGATGCTCAAACCCTGAGTCCACAATAGCTCGAAGTAGCTCTGGCTTCAAAAGAAAATCTCTGAACCCCGAACTGTGAATTCCAACATAACCCCTACATCACAAAAAGAAAGGCAAATAAGATAACCAATTTAAGTTACCAAGTGGTGTACACAACACCAAAAGAATAACTCAAAATACATTAGCAGTGTTTAAACAGCATTTCAAGGCATCAGCCTCAACAAGCACTTCAAGGAATAGCAAATGCACCTAGGAACAAGAATAGGGAGCATCAGGTGCATGCATGCCCTTTCACACCTGAAAACAAGCAAGATTATAAAAAATGAAAGAGAAAAGAGTAATGTAGAAACTAGTTTTCTTCACATTACTCTTAGGTAGAATTACAACAAAAAACAAGTTCCTCTTCATCATCATCACCATCATCCCAGTGATATCCCAACTATATGGTTTTGGCTACACAAGTTACCCTTCCTTGGCCCAATACCAATAATATAAAACACAAAGGCCTACTGAAGCAACTTTTTTGAGTCTGAAGCCTTGGGTTTGAGAGTTAAACACTTCAATTCAAATTTTAGAAAACATATGAGAATTACTAATATATAAATATCATGTTCTTTAAAATTATGGTCACACTTTTTGCAAGTGAAACACCTTGCCTAGCACCAAAGTGATTAGAAAATATTACTCCATATATACTGCAATTTAGTAGCTTATAAAAACAACTTTCTCTCAGGTTATAAATCCCAATGTAACAATTAACAAAGTTAAAGAATTATCCAAACAAAAGGAACAACCAAACAATTTAAACTAAATTACCGAGATTAAGTATCTTTCCACGTAATAGCATTTTTAGATAATTAGCAATAACAATAAAATGGAATATGAAGTACAAAGGCGGAAAGTAAACACCCTCCCCAGTAGAAAGGGGTGTCAGAATTAAATTGAAAGGCAAAACCCCCTATTTGGTAACTGGATCCTCTAAAACTAAATGCTTCTTTGTGAGAAGAAATTCAGGTGCAAGTTACCAGCAAGTTATTCATTGCATATTACATGTTTATTGCTAACTAGAGTTTGATACCAAATACCCAATTCAGAATATCAATATCAAAAAGCAAATAACAAAACAGCATTTAAATCTACTTCTCCACAATCAAGCTTTCAATGCTCACAACAAAGGCATTCCACCAATCGTGCTAGATGATGACAATAAGTGATGAAAACCATAAATCTACACAAAACATTATAAAAACGCAAAAAAAAATCGGACTTTCAGAAACAAAATGCAAAAAAGTTCAAAAAAAAAAAACTCAACATTAGTGGGGAAAAACTGCCGTTGACCATAACATTCACCATATAATCCTTAGATCCATCTACTACAAACTCACAAGTGGAAAATTTGGGAGAAAAACAACTCTAACCACAGCAGTCAACGAACTTTAATAAACCCTAACTCTGAAGCAACTTCACAAAACGCATGAAATTTTTCTAAGACAGGAAAAAGAAACAATTTATCAGAGAAAAAAACAATATCATGGTAAAACCAGAAGCTCAACAGCAAAGGGGAAAAAAGAAAGAAGAAAAAAGACAACCAATAAATAGCATAACGAAGTCCAAACATGCCAAAAATAAAAAACCCTCAAGATCTAAAAAAATGTGGAAAGCCCCATGTTTACCCAAAAGTATGGAGAAGAGAGAACAAACAGGACAATGAAAATTATCAACTAAAGAAAAAACAGATAAACCTACTTCTTAGCTACTTCCCCAGCGCCCTTTGCCGCGACGGAATCGAGGGCCTTTTCTTCCTCTTCTTCGTAATCGAGAAGCTCTTCCTCGTAAGCATCGTTATCCCTGGTTTCTCCCATTTCTAAGAAAGTAAAATTCCAGGTTAGAGTGTGAATCGCCTGGAACAAATTAGGGTTTGAGTAATCGGAATGCAACTTTAGCAGACTTACCTTGAATCCCGAAAGAGGTGGACTAGGGTTAAAGATTCGAGCGTCTGCAAGAGAAAAAAAATATATAAAAAAAGAAGTGGGGAAAACAATAAAGGAAAACAGGTGGAACAGGTTATCGACCCTCGCTAATCCTTCCAAGAGAGAGCGAAACAATTGGGGAGGAAGAGAGCTAGGGCTTAGAAGACGCCATAGTTAAGGCAGCGATGAAATAGGAGAGATTTCCTGCCAACAAAACAAGTTCAAGCACCCTACCAACTAAATCTGACACCGTACATGAGTCCCGCCATGTACGAGATGTGCGGTGTCAGATGACATTGATAGGGTGTTTGGCAGGTGATCCAGACTCATGCAGTAGATATCTTTTATTCGTATGGATTAACGAACTCGGTTGGTAAGTTGCGGAGACCTGGGATCAAATCCCGTTGCCATCAGGGCCTCGTTCATTTGCCCGTATTTAGCCGAGTCCAGATTTGTTCCACACAATCGCTCTTCACACCAATCTCACAATGCCTTACAGCCGCACATCTAACACATCATCGTACTTTGTACTGTTATTCATAACCAACATAAGGTGAGATAAGGCTATGCAGTCAGTCATCAATGTAAGGAGTGCTCTATCAGAGCAAATCCTGATTCTATTTAAACGGGGTAAGTTACTCAATACGATAAATCATAAAGTTGATCACAAATCTGAATTTCGTCCTCATAACACGTTGAGAAGCATCCAATAGTGAATCATTAGAAGTACGGAAATATTCTCAATACATGGCTACAAATGGCCACGTAAAAGACAATTTTTGTAATGATTAACGGGGTGTTTGGTTACTTGAGCGTTTAATAAAAGCTGCCAATATTGGCGCCATTTCAGCAATTCCCCTCTTTTATTGTCTGCAGAATGGTAAAAGGGGAGTTTAGTTTTTGTGCATATTTATTGTTTGGGGAATTATTTTTTAAAACTTTTATAGATTATACATTTTTTAGCTATTATGCTGTTGTGTATTATAGTGGCGCCCAATTGTCATAAATAATTGTAATTATTATTTTTTTTCGATTTTGTAAGTAAATAAATTACAAACATTGAATGAAAAAATGTAAAGGAAACTACTTTAGTGGGCATTTATGGATACACCATTTATTTTTATTTTTTTCATTATACTTTTTCACTTTAAAGGTTTTATGTTTTTGTTGCTTGATTGAGCTTCACTTTAAACATTTTTTACTTTCCACTTAAGATTGATACCCATTAAGGTGTGTTACATTAGCATTTGGTTTCAAGAAACACTCAGGCATTGAAAAAAACAAGAATTTGATGTTTCCCCAAATGCCCTATACACAAAAATCAAAGTATTTCATTTTTCTTCTATTTATTTGATAAATAATGAAATCAAACAATTGTTTCATTTTGCGATGTGGCGCTATTTTTTCAATAAACACCCATGAAACCAAAGACAGCCTAAATCCAATATTGATCATAATACCCGTGTTTGTTGGTACATGGCTGTAAAAGATCTTTTTTTACGTCCAAACCTCCCCTTGACCCCTTTTTTTCTCCCCAAAGTGGTGGTTACGAGATTCAATTCCACATCACTACGAACAAATCAGCTAAGTCACCTCTAGGACTTCTGCTATATTAGGTCTCATGAAAAATGAGGATAACAGGGAATATCCATTATTGGAGAAACTTATACCATCCCTCAATATATGTAAACAATTTACCCACGAGTTACCTGGAGTTCTCTCCCTCTCGTGTATCTTTTTATCCAAGTGTTACCTTACAACACCGAAAAACACGCTTTTCTAAGTAAATGAAAGGATAAATCTCTTAAACTATCCTTACTATTCATGAAACTGACAACTGTACACTTACTGTTTGTATTGTGGTACCCTTAAGTTTTCTGGTGCTAATGGAAGGAAACGAAATGTTGAATTTGCCCTTATTATTTATCAAAATTTCAAAATAAAACCTAAAAGATAAAAAAACCCTGATTTCCAATTTTTTTAAAGTTTTGCTTGAAAAAATCCTGAGACAAGAACTACCGCATTTCTCGACAAACCCCGCCCCATTGGCTCTTTTCTCTTCCACCAAATCCTCCACCATTGCTCTTTTCGCTTGGATTTATCGATGTCATAAGATAAAATACCAGAAGAGAGAGAGATTCTGGAAACGATGAAAAAATGATATAAAAACAAGAGAATACAGTTGGATTCAGAATACTGTCGATTAGAGGACAACACCTCACAGCAAGGACCCGAGGCTGTAAAGATAGTTTGTTTAAAACTGAACAAAAGGAGATTAGAAGAAAGTTGGTTGTTGTGAGGACAGCACCTCACAACAAGGACCCGTCATTGCTTCTTCACTATCTGCCGCTGCTGCTTGCCAATGGTTGACAAGTTGGTGAATGCCGACGTCGTTGGAGCAAACATGGGCTTTGGCTAGCTGCCAGAGCCAAGAGGTGGTGGCATTCACAGGCGGAGCCCCTGTTTTTGTGCAGGTTGTATATGAAGAAGAATGGAGCTCCGCCCCTAATTTAACATAAAAAACAAAAGAGAATGTTTTTGTGCAGGTTGTACATGAAGAAGAAGAAGAAGAAGAATGAAACTCCACCCCTGATTTAACATTAAAAACAAAAGAGAAAGGGGCGGAGCCCCCATTTTACTGAGAAAAACCGAAAGAGCAATGCTGAGTCGCTGGCGCCAGGTGAGCTTTGACCATGTAGATGCTCGAAAAGGGTCCCGTTGGGGATGTATTCATAGACCGTGAGGGGCTGTTCTAGCTCAACACAGCATCCAAGTAGTCGAACGAGGCTACGATGGTTCACCCGACACCAGGATTCTGACCTCGTTGAGGACTTGATCTGCACTCTTGGTGTTCCCAAGCTTGGTACACTTGACAGAAATGATGGTGCCATCCTCGAGGACGCCCTTGTAGACCTCTCCGTAGCCACCGGCGCCAAGCAACCGGTCCTTAGAGAAATTATTAGTTTCCTTCTTCATTTCTTTGTCGGTGAAGTTCTTGGCAGATTTGCCACCATTGTTGGCATTTAGTATCTCCTCTCGCTCCTTGGCCAAGCGTTCTTGAGCCTCTTTGATGCGCCAGTGGTGGTATCATCAGTTTCGTCTTTGCCGGCAGTGGCATCATCAGTTTCATCTTCGCCGAGCCTCTGCTTAAGAAGAGCAGAGACCAGCAGATGGGTTGGATTCCATCCAACAACGGTGGTGAATAATAAGGGTGAACAAAGAACTACCACCGGCAAAGGGCTTAATCATCTGAACTGAATGCCCGGAGACTGAGCATTATCGTTATCACAGGCGATGACGGCCACTACAACTTTCGAATAATAAGAGTATTTTAGGAATTTTAAAAGTAATTAATATTCATGTGATGTCACAGGTGAATGAAGTGTAATGGAAAATTAAAGGCAATGGAGGTTTTAGACAATTGTCAAAAATCTTAAGGGTACTGCAAGGCAATATCTAAACATTAAAGGTATAGTTTGTCAATTTCATAAACAATAGGGATAGTTTAAGAGATTTATCCTAAAAAAATGAATAAGCATCCAAGTGAAATGGGAATTGTCTATCCTTGTCGGTCAATTGTCAATGGATTGGGTTAAACACCAAACCTAGCTTTGCCCAACCCTATTTGGGTCAGGTTTATTGATTTATTCAGAAATTTGGGTTTTAGTTATTTAACCCACAAATGTGGAGGTAATTGGAAAGGTTTTTGTTATCTAACATGTCCACTCATGTGAAAGTCTATTGAGCTTGAGGTGCAAACAAGCATAAGCTCACTCATGCATTGGGCTGAAGGCTTAATTAATTATAATAGGGGGTGAGGAGCATTGAACAGTAAACCACTCGATCAACAAGCTATGATACATTTCAAGGCAATGTTTTTAAAATTGGACCAAATTGGACGGTTGGATCAAAAAAATTGGGAATCGGTCACCTTCCGTTTAACCCTCGAATCACTTTTTTGGCCAAAAATCATTACTTTGGTCAACGAACCGCTGATCCAGGCAGTCAAAGTGTTTGACCCAGGAATGGTTCTTGGTCATTTTTTGTGTTTTTAATTTTTTTATTTTTTGTCTAAGTGAATTGTCCTTTCAGACTGAACGGTTAGGCCATTCGACCTGGGAACCAGACCCCCAAACGGTTCCCTGTCCGATTTGGTTTTAAAAATCTTGTCTCAAGGGACTGTTCAGCCTAAGTTGTTAGGTGATGCCAGTTTTTCTTCTCTAGCATGTACTATTTGTAATTTTTTATTATTTATACTTCCAAAGCTGTAAAGTTAAAGAATTTCTTTTCATGTTTTCATTTTTTTTTTCTTAGAGGAATTAACACCTTAGAACCCATAAACCAAATTTTAATTTAAGCCTCCGTTTAGGATGAATGCATTGAACATATTTGTATTTGCACTCTTCTCAAACCGAACCTAAATACACACAATGCAAATATAGGTTAAAAAATACACACTATATATTTATATCTATACTCTTTTCAAACTGAGCCTAAATTACAAAGAATACAATTGAAGGGATGTAAGGTAGGATCAGAGATTAAAGTTTAGGGATTTTTGGACTGCAGTCCCCCGCCCCCTCCTAGTCTATTAGTAGCCCCCCCTCCCTATAAACTACATCCTGCCCATAAATTCGGCATCAATCCATTGGCAGGATTCAGTCCACTCCTAGGAAATCCTAGCTCCACCTATGGGTGGACTGAATCATAAAAACCCCAAGTTTATTGTATTAGTTTTTAGGGTCCCAATAATACAAGGAGTTGCCAAATATCAATGGGTTTAAATAAAAATGGATGTCATGTCATATCCTCGATAGATTATCAAATAAAAAACTAAAAAAAAAAAATACAGAAAAAGTATGGACAGGCCCAATGCAAATTTCTGAATTCCACTATAGATCTATAAAGATTCAAAATGTCAAAAACCCCAACTCTATACACCAATGCCCACCCATGAATTGGCATCAATTCTGAGCTGGCATCCACCCCAACCGTACTTTGGGTCTAAAGATTATGACCCTGGGCTGAACTGTCATTCTCCTAAAAAAATTAGTGTAGACGAAATGAAACTCTCGATAGGATATTTTGAGCCTTTGTCATGCCAGGTTTGAGTGGGTACATTGGGGGTTGGATTAGAGTGGAGGCAAATTTCCACCGAACACAACCTGTTGGCATCGATCCACTTCATACTTACAAGATTGTGCTCATGCTGTTCGCACAATCTTTTATACCGTGCATTGTAAATATTTTTGTACCTATGTCTCCATTTATTTGGAAGGAGTACAAATACAAATATATAGAGCGCAAAGCCTTATATTTTGTAGATTCCTTCCAAATTAAGCCTATATGTTTTTTTTTTCATGGGGAGATATTCCCAATGCAAGACTGTAAGGGTGTGAACACTTAAGCCGATTTCCCCCAAAGATGAGTGCAACTATACTAGGTTGAACCAACAACTAAAGACCAGATCCGGTTGAGGAAGAAAGAAAAGAAAAATTGACTAGAATTAAGGATAAAGGACAGTGAACCTTTAATCCCTCGGAATATGGATGTCTGAGATCAAACCCTCTCCCCTGCCAAAAATAAATACCTAAGCGAAGGGAGGCTATTCTACTTTTGGCTTTTAAATTTTGTTCAATGTTAAACGTTATTTGTACTTTTTTTTTAATTTTCTTTTCATTGGTATTAGATAATATTATAAAGGATTTAGGGGTGTTGAAAGAATGGGTACACATGAGATTCACTGACCTTACCACGGAGACCCCGCAAGCTGCAATTACACGAGTTTGATCCTATGCTTCTATTTTTTAATAAATGCAGTAACCATTTCAACTATTGGGTCATTAGCAGTTAAGTCTACATTCAATCCAACCCTTCCAAGACCGAAACGGGGATCTGCTCCTCACAAATAAGTGCCTCACAGGTACATCCACCGTGCATTTAAAACATCTCCTATGAATAATAATTAATAAGTTCGGGAGATATTCCCAATGCATGGTAGGATGTGCGTGTAAGGCACCAGGTGTGAGGAGTAGATCCAGCCTCTCCAAGACCCTATATTCCTACTATCAAGTATCAAAGGAGTTAAGTCTTAAAATGTTATGGTCTAGGATTTTTATTTGATTCGAATGCTAAATGAGAGAAAACTTTGGGTATCAACATTGAATAGTATGGATTGTTTCTATCTCTACATAAGTTGTTAGTTCACATTCCACAAGTCATGACTTCAATATTTTTGCTTCTATAGCTCAAAATTTACATAAATTAACATGCCATGCAGGAGAGCTATGTGGACAATACAGCCGCTTTAGGTTCTATATGGTTATAGAACCTAAGGAACTACCCAAGAGAACAAGAGGTGCCTTGCCTTGGTGACTTGAGAACTATGATGGTGGGCTGTGTAACCAATAATAATGCCCCATGCCAACCATAAAGTGCCATGACTCATTACTATTCAATTCTCTCACTTCACATGCATGGCTGATGCACATCTCATGTGACATTGCTACAAACCCTCAAATGAAAATTTTGACTTGCCCACAATGAAAATGAAAATGCGTTTTTCATTTTGAGAGAATGACGGTTCAGCCCAGGGTCAGAATTTGTAGGCTCAAAATACATTTAGGGTAGGTGCCAGCTTAGAATTGATGCCAATTCATGGGCAAGAATGGATGCACGGAGTGTGGGTTTTTGACTTTTTGAATACTTATAACTCTGTAGTTGAAATCAGAAATCTGCATTGGGCCTGTCTTTATTTCTCCATTTCATTTTTGGGTCGCACTTAAGGCAATGATGTGACCTTAGTTGCAGCAGATGTGAACTCTTTGGGTTTGGCCCAACACAAATTGCTACGTGATTGGAAGAACCTCTAGATTGCCATTAAGGTGTTCGTGTTTGAATTCAGTAAGCCATCTGCTTATAACTGCAAATTGTTCCAGATTTGATCTATACTAGTTGCACATCAGAACTGAAGAGAGAGAGAGAGAGACTAAGGCTGTATTTGGTTTGAAAGAAAAAGGAATGAAAGCAAGGAGCATCGCCTTTACTAATTCATATAATTATTTACAATCCAAAAGCATGACTTCTATGAACAATGCGAAATGAAGCTAGTGAAGGAGACATGGAACATTAGGTTGCACGACCCCATAAACCTTTCCCTTAGCATTTGAACAAGATGCTGTGACTGGTTTTCCTGGGATGGCCGATGTGATTTTAATATTCTCCATGAAAATCCCTTTGCATCCCACGGTCTCATCACAGTTGAGGCTGATCGCTATAGGTGTCTTGGAGGTCCCAAAGGCTTCTCTGTAGGAAATATCGCTAATTTGAACGCCTTCCGTCTTCATGTACATATCCCATGCAAATAGAAGAACCATAAACATGGATATTAGGACTTAAAACAAGTTGAGGTAATTATTTGCACTACTATGAAAAAGAGCATTTTCTACGAAGAACAAATCAACTTCAGAATTTTGATTATATTAGGGGGGTGTTTGACATTATAGTTGATTTTATTTTCGAAAACAAAAACAACTTCTCAAACTTTATTTTACGTGGTGAATATAAACACTTACCACATTTTTGCATTGTTTATCACAATAATATTGATCAATGATGATGGGATTCTGTACCTCTGTGAATTCGAGCTGCTCAAACTTGATATTGCTAGCATATCCTCTTCCTCCCTGAAACATGATCAACCCATCATATCAAACCAACTTATCATTCAATTGTTCACAAGTTCGAGATCACTTGACCAAGAATCAACATAACCTGGTACCTGCCATGTTTTGATCCGAGCTCCATTTGTGGTTCTCAAGAATTTAACATTCGTCACTGAAATATGATCAACTGTTACAGTGGATCCTCCCCTCCCCAAGCTTCCAATGCTGTCAACAATGTTATGAACCATCAAATCAAATATCAGGTAATTGTGAATTATATTGTAAGAGGCTGCCTACTGAATGTATGGTCAATCACTGATTATTATGATCATGGGCCAGTAGGGTTCAAAATCTAATACTTAAATTTATTAATTAATACGATATCATCCCGTATTAGACATATCATATCATATCATAAGGGTTTCGATATTTTTAGAAAACCCATTATTTTATTTATTAATAAATATAAAAATATCTATAAAAATGAAAATAAAAAAATTAACAAAATAAATTGCGCATGTGTATCAATACTTAAAACCATTCTTAAAATTTTAATGTAATCACCAAATCTTCTGTAGCCTAGCTATAAGCCTACCTTATACCATGTCCAGGTCCACATATTATGTTGCTGATATTAATATCACTTGTTCCGTTTCCAATAGAAATGCAGTCATCACCTGTTAAAGGCAGGGAAACAATAGAAGCAGGATGGATTTGGAAATGATTCAATAAGGAATAACAAGAATAAGATGATCAGTCAATTACCGGCAGCTATGACTGCACCATGTATATTGACATGGCTTGTCGCTTCGATGTGAATTCCGTCAGTGTTGGGGCTAGTTTCTGGAGAGTTGATAAGGAGTTTAGTGAAGTGGATCTTGTTGCTCCACCCAACCTTGATATGGAACTGTGGGCTATTGATGAACTTCAAATTACTAACAAAAACCTCGCTGCAGGAGTAGATACTGAACATCTATCACCCATGGAAAGAAAAATTTGTTAGGTATTTGTATTTTTTTTTTTATAAAAAAATACTGAAGGTGCTACACAAGCTGAGGGATAATACGACCCTAGAAATTAAGTTGGGGTGCATTTGGATTGAGCTATTGTATGAATGAAATTTGGGGTTTAGCCCAAAAGCTTTTGTATGAATGAAATTTTGGATTGAGCCATTTGAAATATGAAACTGGGCCATGCAAAGAAAAACTTGAATGGAGGTTAAACAGCAAAGAGAAGCTTAGGGCCGTCAATGGATTGGGTCTGGGTCAGAATGAGTTAGAACCAAAATCTATCCAACATGAAATATTGAGGGTTTGGAACCGAGCCAAATCTGATAGGGTCTGTATTTTTAGACACAAAACTGAACCAATCGATTCTCGAGACAATCAGATTGAACCCGACTCATACCCATTGACAGCCCTAAAGAAGCTCAATATAGTGATAGATTTCATCTGGGCTTAATAAGCCCACACAAATATTAAGATGAACATGTCCCTTTACTCCTTTTAGGTTTCAGCATTTATCTATTTACTTGTACATGTTTTACATATAAGTTATGGAGTTTGGTACCAACCGTAGGTGCCTGAGTGGTGCATCCCTGAAAAATAAAAGAAAAATAGCATTTTAAAAACAAAAGCAATAGCACTTTTTCACCAAACACTCATAAGCATTTATTCTCTAAATACTTATTTATCCAATAAGCATTCGCAAATGGGAGCTAAAATAGCACAAACATTAAAAAAATATATATATTAAAAATACCGGTTTTGGTTTATTCCTGCAAGACTGGTCCCACCAGTTATAGCCTCGACCGTTTATCCAGCCAGTACCGTCCATCCAAAGGCCATGCACATCTTTGAACGCAAGCCATAAATCGATGTCCTTGCCATTCCACATAACAGGATTCTCTGGGGCCACGATAGTCCCTAAAATCTGGACCCAAAAGGAGTATAAAACTATAATAAACATGAACACTGCCAGCTTTTCTTAAGTTGGTGAGTAGAACTTCGGTTCCATTACCTTAACACCGACAGTTTTAGACTTGCAAGGGCCCTGAAACAGTATGGGCATAAGGAGAAATGTCTTCCCTTCAGGGATGACCATGACAGGGAAACCTGAAGCTTCCCCACAGGCTGCAGTCCATGCCTTTGAGAATGCCTGGAGTTTGCTAGTGAAGATGAGAAACATTCTTGGCAAAAGAGAACCAAATTTGAGTTCGTTTGGCTTGTTGTTTGAATTGGAATCAGAATTAGAATCGGAATAAAAATTAAATCAGTCGAAATGAGATTTCATTCCCAAAGGAGGGTTATATGGGGAAATGCCATTCTACTAAGAATGGGAATGAATGGGAATAGAATTCTGATTCCGTCCAATTAAACAGTTAGAATCGATCATTCAGATTCTGATTCCATTCCAGACCCTTATTTCCACAAACCAAACTGACCCTTAGTTAAGTGCAAGCTGAAATTTACATAGGTATCATCAGCCGTGCCATCGCCAATAGCTCCGTAACTCATAACGTCGAACACAGTCATGGCATCCTTCATTACTCGAGCTGTAACCGAACAAGCAAGGCCAAGAACGACAATAATGGTGAAAATACCCTGCAAAAGAAAAATGGGTTTTGCTTAAAGAAGTGTAAACCGTTTCCTCATGGGGAGTTGCTTCTCTTTTGATCGAGAAAATGAAAGCAAGAAATTGAGATTTTTTTTTTTTGGTTCAGTAAGAGCTTCTCACCATGGTAGCTGTGAACTTTAGAGCTTCTTGATGTCTGTGTATTTGGTCTGATAGCTATCTTTTTATCTCCCTCCGATTTAAATAGGATCTTGATCAAGTTGTTGTGGAAACTTATTAATTATTTGATTTAAGATGATTTTTCCTCATCAATCAAATAAAAATTACTAAAACAAATAAGGGTGACAGATGAATATAAATGGTGTTTTATGATTTGAACTGGAATGGGACTTCCTTTCTCGTTTTGATGGAAGTGAGAAAATGAGGAAGATACGGAACACTATGAAAAAATATAGAAATCAAAAGGGAATTTGTGTGAAGTTGGGGTAATATTGCGAGGTATGCTACTTGGCAAAAATAAGCCTCCCTAATTGACTCTTCCTATTATAGTTACAGACATTTGCTTAAAATGTATTTTCATCATTACCCAATTTTATTTGTGTTAACTCACATTTTCTTATATCCATGTTAAACTTCAATGTTTTGCAAGCTGCCTGTTGAAATGGTTACCATCTAATCATACATTAATTGAATAGCAAATTCACAACCTTTCGTTTGCTGTCAAGTATTCAATATGACAGTAAACCTACAACAATGAGCCTCAGTAGATGAATGTGCCTTCATTAGGATTCTATGGTTGATTTGTTGAAAATGATCCATCATTAATTAGTCTCTTTTGTCTATATTTAATTACTTTAGTTATTTTACAAGTGTAGAAATTGTTATTGTATGGGACTTAACTAATTAAGAGAAGATTGGTTTGGACATAAAAATGATTTAAGCATTTCTATATGGGTCAGTAAGATTGCATATAACATAGGAAAATTATCTAACACCTCCCCTGACTTTTTGATACCTCCAAGCATACCTGAAGATTTTGTGAGTCACATACTTCTTCTTCGAGTTGTTGAAGAAACATGAGCTTTCATGGAAAACCAGCTCCTCCTCTCTCCTAAGGTCAAAGAACTGACACCATTTCATCTACTTTTTGTTGATCACTTTATTCAAATTCATAATACAATAGGGAATCACATTTACCTTTCATTGGTATGCTAAATTGATCAAGACAAACCATTCAATGAACCAAGATCTAGCATATTGTACAGTTTCTAGTGCTCATATGTACATGTGCTTCCCTATCTCTGTGATCGCGATGAAGGTATAAAACCAGAATAACAAAAACACCCATAGTGACACAAAAGCCACCGGGGGCCTGCGATGAGCCTATAATTCATCGCATGCCTGTGATAAGCTCAAAGTTATCACGGACCTGCAGTGGACTTAAGAACCACCGTGCGACTGCAACAAGTCAAAGTCACTCGCGATAAGACATCTAGCAAATTAAGTGAATACGTCAAATTAGCTTTAGCGTCATCCATGCCACGTCAATATAGGAGACTCGTAAGGAGAAATAGCGCACGTGTATCACGAGAATTCTCGGACGAAAAGGAACTTCATCCTAGGAAGATCTCGCGTAACACATGGCAAACCCTAATAGTGTCCTCCTAACAAACCAACACCGTATCAAAGATTTTCTTTCTAAGTAGGAATCAAACCCCCTTTTCTGGTTCCTTCTCTTCAGGGCCTTGAGGTCTCTCCTTATAAAAATGGGGAATAAGGTGTAATCGACACAATTCTATCAACCCTGATACCTCTATCTATTTGTAAGTCACATACTTTACAAATAGTTGAAGAAACATAAGCTTTCAAGGAAAACCAGCCCCTCCTCTCTCCTAGGGTCATAGAACTGTCACCATTTCATCTACAATTTATTGATCACTTATTCAAATTCATAACACAATAGGGAATCACATTTACCTTTCATTGGTATGCAAAATTGATCAAGACCAACCATTCAATGCACCAAGATCTAGCATACTGTACAGCTTTGGTGCTCATATGTAGGGATGTAGGGGTGAGCATTTGGTTTGTTCGATTAAAAATCAAATTTAATAAAGTATAATTTTAAAATCTGAATTTCTAAATGAAAAAACTGAACTGAAATTGAATTCAGTTAAAACCGAATTTCGTATTATTTATTCAATGTATTAATATATATTATAATTATTAATATACATATAATATTATAATATAATATATAATATATAATATATTATAAAATATTATATATAATATTAATGTTATAATGAAATTTGGTTACTTTGTTTTTTTGTTAACTGAAATTTTAAATCTGAAACCAAAATTTAACCAGTTTAAGTAAAAAACTAAAACAATTAAACCAATTTATTCAAAACTGAAATAATTGAACCGAACAAGTCATAATTTCAGTTCGATTTTCAGTTTTAACCAAATAATGCTCACTTCTAATGGATGGGAAAAAGTTTGACTGTTTGGTAACCTTTACCAATGACACCCCACTCATTCCCTTGTTTGTCGTTTTAATTAAAAAATAAATTATAATTACCATTTTACCCCCACCCATGCTAACATGTCATGCACATGAAGCTTTAAAACAATCTTGGCTGTTTTATCCAAATAGCAAAAATTTACATTAGAAAGTCTTTGTATGTATTATGTCTATATATATAATATATATATATATATATATATATATATATGCATGTATGTATACTTTTTTCCCTTTTTGTTTTGATAAACAAAACCTTTCAAACAGTGTAATTTTCAGAAATATAGAAAAGAATGCACAAATTACTATATAATGTTTGATTAACTGAATTTTGAATGTAATTTTCTATTAATACAGGGGCGCTTACTAAATTAGAGCAATGAATTGAAGGTTTTACAGTTCAGGGTCAGATTGGCAGTTCCATCACCGTCCACAGGGAATCACTACACGCCTAAGCCCCATACTTACTTCGTATATACATATACATATATATGCTATCTATAAAAGAGCAAAGCCCCTTCTTTCTGGAATTTTCTATCCCCTTGTCTAAACATATAATGAGCATAAAAAGGGCATATATGTCCTTTATTTTCATTTTAGAAACTGTCCACTTATAACTGTTTAGAAACTGTCTATGAATTATAAATAATTTTGTTTTAGAGATACTGTCATGTGAAAATGTACATACATGTTCGTGTGTGTATATATATGACTCAAACAGTTGATACTTTTATTTGGGATAGGATATGATATGAACTCGGATCAACTTTAAAGTCTCATCTAGGCTACTGGAAGAGTGCAAATGTTGGTTTAGTAAAATTTTAAATGCAACCAAAGTGACAGTTTTTATAAATTTTAAGATTTAAGACATTTGCATTCAAAACGAGAGTAAAATTTTGCATTGAAAGTTGGTCAATGTATAAAAATTGTGGATTCTTGATAAAATTGTTTTAAGAAGGTTCCTACCTAGTCGGTGTGTCCTGATTTTTTTTGCCGATTGTATTGCTTCTGATTTTTCCTTTGCACCAATGGACTTAAAAAAAAATGGTGGATTCTTATCTAAGAATTTATATTTGCGCCCATTACAACAAAAAACCATTTGACAATAAGGTAAATTTATTGCATCTGCATGGATCAGGATGCACTCTGCATACTCTGTACACATTTGTATTAGCACTCTATTTGTATTCTTCCCAAACAGAACCTAATGCTGCAATTGGTGCTTAGGCAGTAAAACAATTGTTATTCGATAATCTGGCTCAGGATCAGAGTTTCTTCTTGACTTTTCTTATAAGTTGCCAAGCATGTATGCATAGGACTCATCTTAGAATTTCATCACTTCATGGAACGAGTTAGATGAATGTTATTGATTCATTCAGAATTTCCAAGTGAATGTGGTTGCTTAAGCAATGAATCTCAGTCAGTCACCAAAACCACAAAGAATTTCATCTTGATTCAATCCCATTGATTCAGAAATTTAAAGGAAAAATTCCAGATTACAACCTTATACTTTAGGAATATTCTTATTTTAGTACCCAATTTTTAAAATGTCACTGCAATAACTCCTAAAAACTGTCAGTTTAGTGCAAAATTGTTAACTGGATAAAAATGCCGTTTGTGTGTCATCTGATTTTTTTATCATCAATCACTCCTATATAAATCAACTTAAACAAATGCTGAAGTCTAAAAGTAAATCCATAAGCCAAAAGGCATAAAAAGGCACTGAAATACATTCCGTCCATACCATAATACACTTTATTTCAGATGGATCATTTTTTTATGAGGAAATCACCGAGCACATTTAAGAATTGTCGCTTTAAGCCGACACTTTATTTCAAAGGACTGATTTTGGATTGGACCCCGTCCAGTCCAAAACCAATTTGAACAGATTGAACAGACCAACGAGACATATTAGATATTGGATAAGCCAATATCTTGTACTTTGATATAAGATAAGAATAGATATATATGTGTCAATAGACCGGGTTTGAATTGAAACTAATCTAAATCAAAATGAATTTAAACAGATTTTACAGTCCAAACATTGAGTTGGACTGGTCCAAAATAGTCTAAAATATTCATTGAATTGGACCTGGTCCATTTACAATAGACTCACATTGGACTGAATCAAATTAGACCAAATCCTGTTCAGTTGACACACCTACCGACAATTCCAGGGATAAAGAAAGTGGAAGTAACAATGGTTGCATAAACCCTCTATAGAATCCCATACCATTTTCCCCTCGAATCTTCTTGATCCTGGAGACTCCATGGTTGGGAATCAGTCTAAGAACCACCCGGCTGGCCGGCCGAAAAGGAATGACATCATCCATCTTCCCCTATCCTTTCAGATGATAAAGAAGAAAAACCCAAACTTTTAACATTTTGAAAGTACCCCATCCAACAGCTCCTGCTAAAGCATCACTTCTTCAATGTTCAGTCAAATAACTTCTTCACTTAAAAGATCAATTCTTCAATGGTCAGTCAAATAACTTCTTCAGTTAAAGAAGAAACACAGTGACCTAATCATACCCCACCGGTAATTAACGCCTGAAGGCCCTAAACTATACATACCTTGGTGATGTTTGGTACTATTTACATTTATTCAGTAAACGTTTATTGATGGTGCCACATAGGCACCATCTCAGCATTTTCTCTTTTTTACTCTTCTGTATACATCAAAAATGTAAAAAGTGAACTTTGGTTTATGTACATGTCAGTCATTTGTAGAAATTATTTTTTGAAGCTTCCACAAACAGCCAGGCGTTTATTCATTGTTACGCTGAAGTGGTGCCTAGTGGCGCCCAGTTGTCATAAACGGTTGTAATTATTGTATTTCTCGATTTTACCAGCAAATAAAGTACAAACATTTATTCAATAAACATAAATGGTACCAAACACATACTTTGTGGTTGTGATCACTCAAGTCACTGATGGTCGTAATAGTATGTCTGTATCACTCACCAATGCTAACATGTCTTCTTTTGAAGAATAATTTTGATATTTTAAAAGTTTTAAGTCGTAGTGACACGTTTTGAAGTTCAGATACAACCTAAAATACAATGTATTAATATGAAATTTTCCCAAAATTACAGACTTGTTTCCAGGTTGTTCAATAGACCAGTGACCAATTACTTGTCATATCTAATGTAGACATACAACTATTAACTTTGTTGTAAACCCAATGAATGACTTCCACGTGTTCTCTGCACACTTAGTGGTCTTCCCATGTGTGTAATGAACAGCCCCTTGTTTAGACGTTAGTAATGGGTATTATTTGCTTTTTTTTTGTTTTCTTTTATTAATTTCTTTACACGCTTATTTCCACCCTTGTTTTTACCTCTTCCTCTTCCTAACCCCTTTTTTCCCCAAACTCTAACTGACTTATTTTGTTACCATACCTAATGGTGCGCGATCTAGATATTCCTAACTGAAAGACGATTCGAATTTCAGTTGCACGACGAGTTGGACCAAACTGCAAAATTGTAGATTAGAGAATTTGGGGTGGTTAACTCGGCAAGGTCGCTCTGATGCTTAAGTCAGTACTATACTGTGGGTACGAGCTGAGTACTTGAGTGCTTGAATGCTAGTGAGTAAATAATCACGCGTACTTTTGCCTTGGGGTTTCATGTCCTTATATAATGGAGTAGTTGTGGGCCTTACGAAAGAGCTTCGGGATCTCCGGGCTGTGCGGATAAGATCTGTTCCATTTTTAAAGGAGAGAAATGTGTTGATAAGGTTTATCATTTACCTCCGATTTAGGCGCAGCTAGGATGAGCCTCGTCGTGATCCGAGAAACTCGGGGTCCGTTGGGGAGGCCTTTGGAGTCGATTACGTGGCGTTTTGGCTCTTTAGCTCCGAACTGGTACTTCGGTTCTTTAGCCCCGAACTAGATTGGCTGTTGAGGTGTCTCTATGCCGAGGTGGTTTTTGGGCCGAGGTGGCTGAACATGCGAGCTCCGAATAGCTTTTGATTGATTCTCCTTCCCTTTGAACCACGCTCAGAAAGGTTTTTTTGTAACTTCGGGCACTTCTTGCTGGTAATGAAGTGCACACTAAACAGGTCGGCAAATTGGGACTAGCTTTTGATGGAGCCCGGCGCGAGGTTCCGATACCAAGTTCGGACTACCCCCCTAAACGTAGTGGAGAAGGACACACACATGCAGGACTCGTCAGCCCCAACTAGGTGCATCTGAGACTACAAGAAATCCACATGATCGTTGAGGTCAAACGACCCGTCATACTTGTCTAATGGGGGCACCTTGAAATCTTTCGGCATCGGAGTCGCCAAGAGCTCGAGAGACAAAGGAGATGACTAGCAAAGTAATGAGGTGCAATCTTCGTAGCCACTGAGCTCACTTCTTCCTTTTCTTTGGCTTGCTCTGCTTGCTGGTCTGGCTTTGCCGGCAGACTATTTTTGGCTGAGGAGTGGCGTGTCTTGCGACGTCGCCGCTGCTGCTTCTTCACCGGCTCGACGTTGGTACTGTTGATTTCGGTCTGGTTTGGTATTTCAGCATCACTACGGACATTATCGCGAGGTAGATCATGGTTCCTTCTTGCCGGGTTCTCTTGGTTGTGGGGTTTGCACTGGCTATCGCGAGGGATGGAGGGGTCCTACCTCGAGTTCGCACCTCGAACTCCGGTCTAGTTATTATATCTCCTCGCGAGCCGTTATTTTCCTGCTAGGAGTGCCGAGGCGGATTAGCCCTGTTGAGCTGACTATCCCCGGACTTGTTTCTAAAATTTCCTTGCGAGACTGAAGGAGTGTGCTGATCGTTTCTCCTCTCACGGGGTGAAACTTGACCCCTGGGAGGAATCGGTACTTGTGAGGTCCCCTCACCCCAATGGGGGGACCGGTTGACGTTCTAGCTGGTTCTAGGTTGATTTGGGTTCTGGCCCTGACGCGACCCTGGGTGCCGGGGTGGAATCGGCTGCTGGTTCGACTGCAGTGGTGGGAACTGCTGCTGATATTGTTGGTACAGATAGTATTGCTGATACTGCTGAAATTGTTGGACCTGCTGCATCTAGATCTGTATTGTCCAGACGCATTGAACAAGGTCATGGAATTGGGAGTGTTCGATTCCAGGAGGGACCGCAGATGGCTCAGAGAAAGTCGCGCCCACTGGGGGAAGCGGGACGCTCACTTGCGTAGTGCCCTGTGGTACAGACAGTAACGAGACTCCTGAAACTGTAAAAGGAATAGTAAACTGGCCAATGCATACCGGAGGACCTGGGGGAAGGTTGATTGCTTATATCACCCCCCGGTGACGTTCATCTCGATACTTTTTTCGGTGTTGCTGGAAGAATCCATTGGGATAAATTGAAAAATAAATTTGCAACTAAAGTTGGGATGACCTTTCGATCGTTTCTCATAGACGGTGCCAATTGATGGTGCGCGATCTTGATACTCCTAGCTAGAAGACGATCCAAACTCCAGTTGCGCGGTGAGCTGGACCAAGCTGCCAAATAGTAGATCAGAGAGCACGGGGTGGCTAACCCGGCAAGGTCGCTCCAATGCTTAAGTCAATACTATACTGTGGATGCAAGGTGAGCACTTGAGTACTTAAATGCTGGTGAGTAAATAATCACGTGTACCTTTGCATTGGGGTTTCATGTCCTTATATAGTAGAGTAGTCATGGGCCTTACGAAAGAGCTCTGGGATCTTCGGGCTGTGTAGATAAGATTTGATCCATTTTTTAAAGAGAACAATGCATTGATAAGGTTTATTGTTTATCTTCGATTTCGGCGGAGCTAAGATGAGTCTTGTCGTGATCCGAGAAATTCAGGGTCTATTGGGGAGGCCTTTGGAGTCGATTACATGGCGTTTCAGCTCTTTATCTCCGAACTAGTACTTCGGTTCTTTAGCCCCGAACTAGATTGGATGTCGAGGTGTCTCTACGCCGAGGTGGTTTTTGGGCCGAAGTGGCTGAACATCTGGTCTCTGAATGTTGCAGGCTGAGTTCGTTTGGCTGAGTTATCACCCCTCAAGCAGATCGCGTCTACGTATCCCCTTCTTACTAGGTCGTGCTAAATCACCCTTCATCAATACCTGAAGCCATGACTTCCTAGAGACAGAATACTAATGCGAATAGGATTCAATCCAAGAAATTCAAGTTTTGTGAACAACAATAATTTCCAGTACAAAGTCTTTCTTTGGGCATGTGAATGATGACTTTTAACATGAATTTCTAGCCGAAGTCACATAAAAGCTTAACACAATCATATAATAATTTATTGTTTTTAATGGATTTAGCTTATATTATTGCAAAAAAACTCATATAAATTATTTGTCATTTGCAAAAACAGGGGAAAATCGTATTTGAATAATCAAATGATTTAACTTATATTGTTGAAATCCACTAGTATTCAAAATAGAATGAAGACTTATACAATGACAAATATCTATACCAGAGTTTGGAGTATGTTGATCCTTCTATGAAGTGTTCAGGTTACATTGAATGTTTGTATAGCAAAAAATCAGTAGATTAAGGTTAAGGGAAGGAAGAGAGGTGAGGAAAAGTGAAAATACGAAGGAAAGAAAAAAGCGTGCAATTTTTTGGCTCATGCATTATAGGCCATATAAATAAATAAAAATAAATAAATATTATTATTAGAATAACCATGGCCTGTGTTTAAGGCATACATGGGCGGGTTTAACTATCATATGGAAAAGATATGATATCTGAAAAACTTTTCATCAGTCAATTGGAATCATAAACGTGGTAGTCAATTAAGTATTATTTACAAAAATTCATGGGTGGATTTTGATTGGTCAAAACTCTTCCCATTCCATATCTTTTCCGCATCATAGATGGAGTATTCGATTGTCACAAAAGTCGGTGAGAAATATGGGGATGGAGTATTCGATTCAAGGCTTACTTAGCAGTCCAGTAATTGAATGAATTTCTCCATGTTGTCCTTGTATGATCGAGCATCGGATTCAGACTAAGCAGGTGGAAGGTTTCGCTTCCCTTCGAGCTCTGCTAGGGAGTTGTTGAGCACCTCACTGTAAGAACAAGGTGGTTTTAATCAGGAGCTGACTTCGGTTACGTTTCTTCTGTTAGTCCTTTGTCTGTGTTCGAATAGAGCGAAAAACGATGGAGATCATAGAAGAAGGAATGGAGAAAGAACAACCAAAAGCACTGATCAAGAACTCTAAGAGAAGGATTGACCTCTATGCAAAGGTAATCTCGGATAAGCTCCTTAATGTATCAGAAGTAATAGAACAAATCAAAAGCATGTGGTGGTGGGTTAAAGGGGAGATATAGATAGAATGAGCAAGTGGCAACCTTTTGTGGATTTTCTTTTTTAGAGAAAAAGATAGAAAGAATGTGTTGAGGGATGAACAGTGGGCAGTAAAAGAGTACCCACTCGTTTTGAAAGAATATATTGATGATACCTTGCCTTTAGATGTAAAGCTAGACACTCTGGATATGTGGGTAATAATTCTAAACGTACCAATGGCCTACAAAACCAAAGAATCTGGAGTTCTATTGGCTTAGACTGCTGGAGAGGTGGTGGACATGAAACCTGAAGAAGATAGAAGGAAAAAAAATAAAGAATAATGGAATAGGGGTTTGAGAGTAAGAGTGAAAATAGACATTACAAAACCACTAGCAGTGGGAGCGAAAGGAATCCTAGAGGACGGGAAAGAAAGTTGGTTCTCATTCCAATATGAGAACTTACCAATCTTCTATTACAAGTGTGTAGTGTTGGGGCACTTGGAAAGAGCTTGCAAAGAAGCTGCAGATACCTGCAAACAAATTGAAGCTTTAACTACAAAGATGAAGGAACAATGCCTGAACGAATCCAAAGCCTTGACTGGGTACGGGCCATGGCTGAGAGTGCAGAATGCAAAAATCTTACCAGAACCCCAGTGAGAAGAAAGCTCTTCAGTGAAGAATATGACAATCAAGAGGGGAAATCCCTCATGGAGAAAACTCACCAGAGTTTCAATGTAGTTTTATCTCCGACGAAGCAGGTCAAGTAGAGAAAAGGTGGCTTGGAAATGAAGCAACATCAATACTTGCTGCACAAGCTTTTCCTTTTCTAGCTGCCTAGGCGGGAAAAGTAAGACAGACATGGTTATTGACCTACACAAAATGGGTAAGACGTGTCTCACTCTGCAATTAATACCAAACTTGGAAGGTGAAAAGGTTTTTGTCGAAAACAGGGGAGAAGGAAGGTTTATTTCTTACAAGAAAATAACAGAGGATGAGCTGGAAGCTTCCTCCGAAATTAATGCAAATACTATAGTCAATACAGACATTAATAGCAGTGCCAATCGAGGAGAGAAAGAATGGGAAGATGAAAGGATGGGCACACACGAGCAACGTGAAACACTGATTACACATAAGAACCTGAACCGTCAAGGTGTGGGATCCCCCTTGACAGTTCGATAAGCAAAAGAGGCCCAAAGGAAAATTTAAGCTTAGGTTGTCTTTTTTTTTGTGAAATAGAGTGTAGTCTCTTAGGTTGTAGAAACAAAGGATTAGAATTGTTGGGGTGTAGATGCCTGGGGTTTGGGATGCAAGCTTAAGCATTCATGTTTTAATAGCAGATAAAAACTTAATTCACACCAAAATTGTTGAGGTTTCTAACTAACCAAGAGTGGAACTGGACCTTTGTTTATGGAGAACCAGATAGAAATAAAATAGTGCAATTTATTGAGAAAATAAACTTCATAGCAGATAGAAACTTAGGGCCTTAGTGTTGCATGGGTGATTTTAATATGATTTTTAACATGGATGATAAAGCGGGGGAAAAGCAATCAATGTGGGGAAGTAAAGAGGAATAGAAATTTTGTTTATAATTGGGGTTTGGAAGAAATTCAAAATTCGGGACCAAAATATACTTGGAATAATAAAAGGGATAAAAAAGCAAATGTCAAAGAGAAGCTAGATAGAGGGCTATGTAATATTCAATGGAAAGAAAGATACCCTGATGCAAAAATCTTTGTCCTCACAAACCATGGCTCAGATCATCTCCTACTATGTTTGGACACAAACCCAGTAAATTTTAAAATAAAAAAACCATTCAGATTTGAAGAAATGTGACTCACCCATAAAAGTTTTGCAGAGCTGATAAAAAATTTTTGGACAAAAAATCGCAATGACCAAATAGTCCCCAATGTTCCAAAAAAATGTGAATTATTAAGTAAAACCCTGAGAAATTGGAACAAGAAAGAATTTGGAAAAATCCAAGTGTGTATAAAGAATCTTAGAAGGGAGTTCACTTTGAAAAGGGAAAAAAAGGGATATAATTATGATCAAGTAAAAGTAAATCAATTGGAACAACAATTAGATGAGTGGTTAAAAAGAGAAGAAATCATGTGGGCTCAAAAATCTAGAATTAACTGGCTAAAGTTTGGGGATAAAAATACAAGTTTCTTCCATAATCAAACAATTATGAGGAGAGTAAAAAACAAAATCTTGAAACTGAAAGATGAAAATGGAGAGTGGATAGAGGGACAAGAAAATATCCAAAAAATCATGGAAAATCACTTTCTAGAAAATTTACACCTCTTATAGGCCTATAGACATGGAAATGGCCCTACAAGGCATCCAAGAAATTTTAAAAGAAACTCATAGAGAAAGTCTAGAAATGGATGTCTCAGAAGAGGAGATTAAGGAAGTCTTGTTCCAAATGGCTCCTAGAAAAGCCCCAGGACCTAATGGTTTTCCGAACTTATTTTTCCAAACTTTCTGGGAGACTGTGAAGGAGGACGTAGTAAAAGATGTCCAAGTTCTTTTTTTTTTTTTAAATCAAGAGAAATGAATAGAAATCCTAATTCAAATTTCATAGCACTAATTCCGAAGGCCAAAAATTTAGAAGAAGCTTCTCAGTTCAGACCAATCAGTCTGTGCAATACTGTTTACAAAATAATTGCAAAAATTTTGGTAAATAAGATGAAACCTATTCTAAATGAATTAATATCAGAAAACCAGAGTGCCTTTATCCCTGGGAGAGCTATAACTGATAATATCTTAATTGCCCATGAAGTAATGCACTACATGACTTATACAAAAGCAAAACAAGGTTTCATGCTAGCTAAGTTGGATATGAACAAGGCTTATGATAGAGTTGAATGGGATTTTCTGAAGTTAACCTTGCAAAGGATGGGTTTTGGTAATAAATTTATTGATTGGATCATGAAGTGTGTATCCATAGTTTCCTATTAGATTTTAAAAAATGGATCCCCATCAAGGAAAATTTACCCTCAATGGGGTCTAAAGTAGGGAGACCCCTTGTCACCTTACCTTTTCCTGCTGTGCTCAGAAGTCTTTTCATCTATAATAAAGGAAAAAGTGACCGAGAAGGAGCTCTCTGGAATTAAAATATGCAACTTAGCTCCAATAATATCTTATTTGTTTTTTGCAGATGATAGTTACTTTTTCTCTAAAGAAAATCCCAAGGAAGCTAGTGCCCTGCTGGAAGCCATCTCCCTCTTTGAAAGAGCCTTTGGGCAACATGTGAATTATCAAAAATCTGAAGTTTTCTATAGCAAAAACATGCATCCTAAGTTCAAACAGATGGTTTCAAAATTTCTTAAAGTTTAAAAAATAGAAAAACCCTCTATTTATTTGGAATCTCATCCTCTTGTCAATAGGAAAAATAATCAAAATTTTGAATATATCTCAGAGAGGGTAGCAAACAAAGCCCTCAGTCTGGGAAAGACTCATATGGAAAAATTAGCAGACACTACTCATGTTTTATAGAGCATTTGGAAAGATAGAAATTTGTTTTATTTTGAAAATGAAAATCCAAATCCCCTTGTTGTCATCTCTCAAATTTGCAAGTCAATAGTGGAGAGATATCATCTCTGGTAGCAGAGATCAGAAAGCTCTTCCAAGACTAGTCTAAACAAAAAGGATGTTTTTTGGATTCCACTAGATCAGGACTGCATGAAAGTCAATATTGATGGTGGTTTTTTAGAATCTTCTAGACAGTCTTCTTTTGGATTCATTATCAGAGACCATTTGGGTGTTGCTGGGGTGCGGGTTTTGGGAAATCAAAAGTTTTGTCTCCATTGAAATCAGAAGCGCAAGCCCTTCTAAAGGCAATCACTTTTGCAAATAAAATGAACAAATCTGATCTCATTTTTTAATATGATTGCAAATATTTAGTTGATTGGATAAATGATGCTAATGGCTGTGAAGACTAGGAAATCCTCTTTTGTTGCAGGGATATTAAAGAAATTACTTCTAGAAGAAATTTCACAGTTCAATTCTGTCCGAGAGAAGCTAACCAAGTAGCTCACACAACGGCCAAATATGGTTTTTCAAGAGATTTCAAATCTAATCTTTTGTGTGTCTCCACTATAGTAAATTTAGACTTGGTTTTCTGTAATATTTTGTAGTTTTTTTTTTTTTTTTTTGTCTCTTGTTTTGTTTTTGCTTGTTGTTTTTTTTTGGGTTTTCCTTATGCCGGTCAATGTTTGTAGTTGTTGTTTTCTTCTTGAATGAGATTATCGGGTTCCTACCAAAAAAAAAAAAGATTTTCCCTACACCCACCACGTATGCAAAGAATAGTAGCGTTCATTCATTAGGTTTACAGCAAAGTCAATAGCCCTAGGTCTACAGTAAATTAGGGGTACATGTGCGAGAAAAATTGAAAAATCAAATCAAGCCAAAAACTAAACTAAATCGAATAAAAAATTCAATTAACTGAATCCGTTGATTTGATATTTTTAAAAAATTGAAGATACCAATTCCGTTTTGATTAACTAATATAGAAAACGAATAGTTAACCGAATCAATGAGTACATATATTTTTATATATTTTATATTTTTTATATATTATAAATTAATAAATATGCATTATATAAATGTATATATTTATAATATAATATTATTTTTTATTTAAAATACAATATTTTATATAAAATTGAGTAGCCGAACCAACGGTTAATTAAATCGATTCACCGATTAATCGATCGGCCTCGATTAACGGTTTTTCAGAAACCAGTAATACCGGTTCGGTTTAAAAAATAGGCGTGGTGGGCACCCCTGGCCCTGAGCAAATCTCGAGTGAGAGAGGAAGAGAGAATTCGATGACAGAGACCCCGGATTTAACTCTCTCCTTCCTCCCCCTTCCCTGGAATAATATCGATTTACTGAAATACCCATAGTCTCTAACAGAAATTACAGTAGTGTATTTTCATGTGTCTTCGTCAATGGAACATACTAATAAGGGGTATTTTAATATTTTTGCACCAGTTTGTCCAAACTCTAAACGCGGGAGAGAGCCTTATCTGATACCACCACCACCACCACCTAAATTTTGGAAGCTCGTAACTCACTTGAAGAGTAACCAAAAGTACTTAGAAACTCTGAAATGGCGAACGCTATCTATTTCTCACCTGTAAATACCTTCAAGCCTCCAAATAAACCAGGTATTCCCTCACTTTATCCTTTCAATCCTACCCCCAAAACCTACAAGTGTTATATCAGTATTAATTCCTCTTCTGGTGTTTAAATCTGTGAATCTTTTAGGGCTTTTAATAGGTGCATCTAGTGGCCGAAGTGTTCTTCGGGTCGACCAGGTGTTTCCAAACTCTCAAACTGCTAGGTTTCAATCCATTGAAGCCAAGGTTCGTGGTTTTTCCTCTTTTTCTATTTTCTGTTCTTTCTAGTGAGTTCGTGGTTTTCACATGGTTTATTTTCTTCGGTATTATTGTTTCGGAGTTGTGAGTGTTTTGTTTCTGTTATTATGTAGATAGTGTTGCACTTTGTTTCTTTTTTTTTTTTAATTTTCTTTTCTGTTCTTTCTTTCAGTTATCACCAGATTTTATTTTTCTTTTTCTTCTGAATTTATATGATTTGTTTGGTAGGCTGCAGACAGTAATGAGAGCACGAAATCAAACAGCCTATTATGTGCTGATTGTGATGGAAATGGTAAGCAGTTTAAGTAATTTGTTGTAGTTGTTTGTGTTTTTACCCGAAATTTGATTCTCATGTATTCTTTGCACTATGGAAATTATATAATGTTCTTGATAGTTCTTTTGGTGACCTCTCGATTATGTATCTATTTATTTTTCTGTTAACTGCTTATCGATATTGAGTTAATACGTGATGCCAAATGCAAATCCTAGAAGAATTGGAGGATGCTTGTTATATTTTGGCATGAAAATGAATTCTAAAGCATATGCTTTAGTTATACATTTTCACAGGAAACTTGCATGAACTACAATTAAGAATCAGATTACATCTTAATGTTTCTACTTCTGGAGTACCATCTGTGGCATTGGTAATTGTAGGATCTAACCACCATGGTAAGCAAAAAGTTTGATTCAGTGGGATAGAAACAGGAATAACTCATATAGCGCATTGGATACAGACATAACTTCTGGCATTTCTTTTGCACAAAGTGGCTGCTCTCAGTCTCAGACTCAAAGCCATGTTCTCACATTTGTCAGCCTGAGATTTTCTCGTTACACCAAGCAATGGTAGTGGATGTGGTTACCATAACTACTAAATGATTGTAAACTACATTGTTTAGTAGATATGGGACATTGTTATATCCAATCCTTGTTTTTTCTCATTAATTCACATAGCATCTTGCCTGAGCAAATACATTTTCTATGTAGGTGTGGAATCTCTACGTATTGTATCCACCCAAAAATAAATAAAAACAAATAAAAAAAATAGGGATAAATCTGAGATAAGCCACATTTAGCTTATGCTCTCATCCTATATAGCTTGTTATTCTTCTGCCTTTAATTCATTCATTTGTATGCCAATCTCCAATGTTGAATCTTTGTGCCAGCTGATGGGAGTGCATGTAATTTGTACCAATCTTCTTCTGACTCTCTAATTAGATTTTCTTAGTTTTCTAGTTACATTCTTCACAGGATTTCTTTTTAAAATGGAATTATCTTTTTCATCCTTCCTGGCTTAGGGTTTGTCATAATAAGTGCTTTGTGTATCCTGCCAATTAAACTAGCTCCTGCAAACGTTCCTGATCGATTTCATGGAGTACAAGCAACTTAATTTGTTCAGTGAAAAGATATTTCTTTCATCATTTACATACATTGAAAGATAACTCGAGCAAGAAAAAAGCACACATTGAAGATGATCATACTTTATTCCTTTTCTTTATTTATTTTTTAAATAATGTTGGATAACTGAGATTGATACCTTTCCATTTAACTATAGGTGCAGTTTTGTGTTCACAATGCAAAGGTACTGGGGTAAATTCTGTTGACCACTTCAATGGCCAGTTTAAAGCTGGGGGTTTATGTTGGCTCTGCAGGTATTACCATCAACTATTTGGAAGTTGTTGCAACCTCTATTGTAATTAGTGTTACTCATCATTTTAACAACTATTATATTGAAATTAAAGGAGAATGTAAATGAGGGTTTTTGGATAAAAAACCTTCTTGTCTTAATAAATAAGGAGGTTGTCTATGTGCCTATTGCATATAATTGATCAACGCACACATGCCAGATGTACCAAAGAAATGTATTACTGCTGTTAACAAGGTGATCTTAAAGGTCAAAAATAAAAATTTCATAGATGGTTGTAACCGTCTGATATGTAAAATTTTCCTTCTTGACTGTTGCCAAACTTTTCTGTCTGAATGTATCTGCTTGATTGGATGGCTTTAGCTATCTATCATGCTGATACATAGACTGAAAGATTTCCTTGTAAGACTTCATTAAATGGTGGGCCGCTCACCTCTCCCATCGCAAACATTTACAGAAAGGCATGGCAGACAACTTTTTGCCATTTTCTTACCACAGTGTAATCCTACTGTCATAAGTACATTGGTCATTAACTGGCTTCCAACCTGGCAAATTTTCACCATAATGGGGAAATTGATATGATTTCCTGCTAATCATAGCACTCATGTGATGCTTTGAATAATTTTTCTTGCAGAGGAAAAAGGGATATTTTATGTGGGAACTGCAATGGAGCTGGCTTTGTGGGTGGCTTTATGAGCAGTTTTGATGATTAAGAATGTGTACAAATCAGATTTGGTAATTGAATCTGTGTTGGTTGTCATGAATCAGCAAGAACTTAACCGATATAAAAGTCAATGATTCATTTAGGTTGGTCCCTGTATTGTATTTATGGGAATTGCCTTCTTTTCATGATATGCAATTGGTTTTCCTAATCTTCTCCATATAGTTCTCAAATCAACAAAGGGAATTCTGCTAGGTTCTAATTTTAGTTCATTATGGTTTCTGATAAACGGAAGTAGTAATGCAACCACTAGCCCTTCTCTGCAGACAAATTGTTCTCTTAGTATCGATGCATGAACTCTCAATCTCTCATCTGTTGCTGGAGTAGGCTGAGTTGCCTCGGGCTCTGGATGAAACATGTTTACATGTACATTGAGTCAGGTGACTCATTCAGCCTTTCAGAAAATCCAAAGCTACCAAATTAATTTGTGCTGCTGTAAACTGTTGCCATCCAACCTTTGACTGCTTTGCTAAGGATTATGGTGCCATCCCAAGATTACATGCAATGTACTTATTGACCCTTCTGACAGGCTAAGTAGTAAGTAGCCATATTGTTCATCGGCCATATGGCCCATATCTCTCCTGGTCCTCTTCTCACTTCCAAAATAAGGGTGAGAAAATGTTCCTCCCACTTCTGATTCTGAAATAGTTCCAGGATTTGCAACAACTAAAATGTAACACAATCATCATAGGCAGGATTTGCAACTGTGCTGTGCAAGGATTTTATATACGTGTTTTTATTGGAAAAACATTAAACGCGCCAGGTAGGGGTCGAACCTACGACTTTCTGCTTAGGAAACAGACGCTCTATCCACTGAGCTACAGGCGCCTCACATTATTTTATGTCAGATTTGATTCATTTGAGCAAATTAATAGGCTGTTTAGTATTTGCGATGGTAAAACAACACGAAAAAACTGCAAATACAACCCGTAACCCTCGTCATTTGGTATTTGTAATGAAAGAAAAAAATAAAACGCGCCAGGTAGGGGTCGAAGGTACGATTTTCTACTTAGGAAACAGACGCTCTATCCACTGAAACTTTATATCAAAATCAAATATTATCACAATGTAAAGAAAAAGGAAACCGACCACTCAAAACCATATAACCTTCAAAAACAATCACCCAGCTTATGGCCCTCCAGTAATATATGATTTGTCTAGACGCAGCCGGTAGGCTGATATGGTCACTAGTCACGACAGTAGAGGAAAATGCTTGAAATTTGGACACAAGTTCACAATATGTTATTCGGAGGTTGTCAGTTGTCACTAATGTTTTTTGGTAAATCTTCCGTTTATTCACTTTGTATTTGGTAGAACTTTTATTTCTATTTGAATTATTTATAAAATTGAGAAAAATAATAATAAAATTATTTATTGATAACTAGGTGCCATTAGGCATTATATCAGTTTCATTTTAACAATGAAACATTAAAATGAAATTTCTCCAAACAATAAAAGTGAATATAAAAGACCAGCTTTTGTGCGTCTATAATATTGAAAAAACGCTCACGGTTTCAAATATAGTTTTTAAAACCAAACTGGATCAGACGGTCAAACCGGAAAAACCAGAAACTGGTCCCATTTTTTCTCAAAACCATTTTTTTCCTAAAATTATTGATTTTGATCAACAAACCACTGAACCGGCCCGGCCGATTAACCATTCAAATGGTTTTAACCATTTTTCAAAATTTTTAATTTTTTTATCAGAATAGGCCAGTCATTTGGGTCAAACGGTCAGACCGTTCAAACCAGTAACCAGACCTCTGACCGATTCGATCACCGGTTCGGTTTTAAAAACCATGGTTCCAAACACCACCCTTGTCATTGGGATCTCGCAACTAGGCCGCAAGGGAGTGCTGAGACCATGGTCGCAGTCGCAACATATTACTTTGGGTGCTGCATTCACCAGCTATTTCTTCTCGTCCTGTCGTTCCTTCTTGTTTCATATTTCCTTCCCAGAAGGCCAGAAGGCTTATGTGTCAAATAGTCAATACTCTTATCAAATACCCGTGTTTCCAGTTTCCACATTATCAGTTACCACCCCCCACCATTACCACCCAAAGGCTAAAAGTTGCTTTTGGACAAAGGAGCTCGTCCTTTCTTTCAATGCAGGTCTCCTCGTAGATCACGTTAGCAACCCGACCACAAATTGAAAATTAGAAAGAGGCAAACCCCAATTTTGGATTTCGGCAATCAATTACATCATCATCATCATCACCAAGCAAAAAAGGGACGAAAAGTGGAAAACCAGAGGAGATAAGTGTACCCAATAGCTCGAACAGTGTAAAATAGTCACTCATAGAAAGTAGAAACCCAGAAATTACATAAATAAAAATCGTATGCTCTCTGACCGTCTCACATCGCCGCAGTGGTCGATAGGTCGTTGCAGAGGTTGAATCCGAACCAAACACCGTTGGGAAGGAAGGTGTTATAGTAAAACGTGATGGTGTTAACGTAGGGGCTGCTGATCTTCACGGACTCCGGCTTCCACCCATCATATCCCGTCCTCAGCAGGTACACATAACAGATCTGGTAGGTGCATGGCCCGCTTATCTTGTACGTATCCGTCGAACACCTTTCGAACGTCCCCGTCGATGGATCGTCCAGCCTCGGCGCGTACACCTGGTCAATGATTTTTACCCATTAAGAACAGACTAGGGAAACATATACCCATGATTAGGAATCAAGTTTTCTTTACTGGGTTGATCTTAGTTCCTATTTTTTTTTTTTTGAGATAAAACAAAAAGAAAAGGTAAAAATGAAGGGATTGAAGGCTGATCGGCTGTACGGACCTGGTTACCGTAAGCGTCCCCGAACGCGAGACTGATTCTATCTCGGGTGTATGATGTTGAGGAGCAGCTGGTTCTTATGGTCACTGTGTAAGAACAGCTCCTTACATTCTGCAGGGAAAAACAATTGAGGTTGGGAAGAAAGGGGGAAGGAAATTAAGAGATGAAAACTCAACTCAAAAGGGTCTTTCGAGTTTGGTATTAGTTACCTGGTGGGTGCTCTGGTTGTCCTGGATCTTGAACGAGCTGGAGGGCTGAGGATGTTGAACGATGGATTTAGCTTGTGAGGAGGCGATAATGAAGAGGAAGAAGAAGAAAGGGAGAAAGGAGAATGATTTGACCATCTTCCCGGAGAAAGGAAACCGATCAGTCTGGTATTCTGATGTGTCGCTTGGTGGAAATGGAAGCATTTATGGGTGCGAGGACGAGGACATTGACCCACTAGCGACGGGCCAGGCACAGAGACACTTGATTCATGTGCACTGCCCCGAGCGGAGCACTGGAGGCTGGAGCAGGGCGTGGCTCACACGGTTATCAACGCTAGAGATTTAATTGAAAATGTAAAACCTTCCTTGCCTTTACTGGACTGTCTTGCCCACCGTCTTGTCAGCAATAATATTATATTCCGTCAAAGATGGGTGACGGGATCGGCTCCTCACAAATGAGCGCCTCACATGCACATCCACCGTGAGATGTTCTCAATGAATGATAGGTGTGCGTGTGAGGCGCCAAGTGTGAGGTGCAGATTCGATCTCCAAAGATGGCAGCATACAGAAAAATGCAAAATCACTACTGTACATCAACCATACTTCCATAGTGTGTGTTGGCTTCACGTCCAGACCACAATGCGAAAAATCTAATCCTTAACCCATCTCCCTACAATTTTTATTCCATCTAGTAAGGGAGAGAAATTTTTTCCCAAAAAAAATCTTTCTGCAATTTATCCATTTATTTTAGATATTCTTTTAGAATTCTAAAGTTAGTGAAATAAATTGGGGGAAGAATCGATTTTAGGAGCAGAAATTTTGTTCCTAATTAGAATAAACTATTTCTCCAACTTTGGAGTTGTTATCTTTCATTTTGAAGATAACCTTCGCCACTCTTCCTCTAATAATTGGGGCCCCTAAGTATTTATTACCCTTCCCTTGTATTGGAATTCTCATGATGTTTGAAAGGAATCTCTGATGTCTTCTATGCATATTTTTTGAAAATTCCATGGTTGATTTGTTGTAATTTCTTGATGCCTCCATTTTCATCTAATTACATGTCAAAATGGTTGCTTTTGAGTAATTATTTGAAAATTGCAAAATTGGCACTAATGACCCATCTTTGGAGGCTTTGATGCCTAGGCTATTTTTCATGATCCTCATTCTTTTATAACATTATTATGGGGGCCAATTATTCATCACATAAAACAAAGAATGTACGAAAGTAGGGGGGTCTCTTTGCCTTATACCTCTTGAAAGAATAATCTTTTGGGTTGAGCATCCACTGATAAGGACTTTGTAATAGACTGACTCACCACTCTATTATTGAATTATTCCATTTTGGGGAGAAATCACATTTTTGCAAAACCCTCCTAATATAATGCAATTCTAAACTCATCATATTCTTTTTTTTTTTTCTTCTCATATCTATTTTATAGGATATCACTCCTTTTTTTTCAAAGAGTTACATAATTTGTGGACTATAACAATACTATCCATTTTTTGATGTATATAGGCTGTGTTTGGTTGCAATGCAAATAAATTTGCACTGATGCAAAACTGTGGCAGTACAAATGATTTGAGTGTAAATTCTGACTTATTTTTGTCTCAAATTTTAGCTTATTTTGTTTGATTGCAGTATAAGTACAAATGAAATAAAATAAGATTTGAATCAGAATAAAATAAAACCCAAAACAAAATTAAATGAGAATTTGCATTTTTTTTTGCACTCCCTCCATTTGTATATATGTAAATAAAATTACACCTACAACCAAACACAGCCTTAGCCACAAAAGCACTATAGAAAGGAGCAACCAGATTTCCCATAATAGGTTACAACCTATTTACTAAAATTTTTACAATAAGTTTACACATTACATTGCATAAACTTATCAACATATACTGATCTACCCTCTTTTCTTTTAATTCAACTGATGGGCTCAATTCACTGTCGCGAATGAATGACTTATCTAAAACCATATAAACCGTGTGATTAATTGTAATTTTATTTTATTTTTCTTATAAAAAAAAGGAAAAAATGATGTATCATGACCGAGTAGGCCCATCTGAGTACTGAAATTATGGGCTATTGATACTATTTCATCATGTGCCATGGCTATCTGAGTTTTTATTTAAGACTTCCAACTGTTTCACACTGAAACTCATCTTGGGTTCTCGGACTTTCTCAGGAGACAGTACAATATGGAAGTTGATGTCACCCTCCCTCACATTTATTAACTCCACTTATCTAACAGCTTTGGCTGTATATTGCAATTTGGCAAGCGTATGCATTAAAGTTTAAAACCCAAATGAAGATAATACAAAAAAGAAGATATATTGATGGTTTGATCAGATCAAAGGAGTTTGGAGCAGATGAGAGTATTGGGTAGCTTTAGCTTTTCTACTTTTATGACTAAGTAACTAAGGATAAGGCTATCATTGTGATTAACATTGCCCCAGAGAATTGATGAAGTTGAAACTAGGCTGCTGCCATTGGATCCAGTCTGGTCCATGTCAGGGTAGAACCAGTCCCGACCCAAATCCTCCAGTGTTTGTTCCTTGTAGATAATAGAGCCAGAATCGACCCTATTACATGGGATATTTGGATAATACTTTTTTATTTGTTTGTAAATCTCACATGAAGTATGAGAAACATGTAGTCTTGAAGGTTATCCATGTCGTGTAAGTATATTTTACACTAGGTTTAGGTCTTAATTAGATTGCACCACTTAAACCAATCCCAACCTTATTGTTGAATATCGATTTGGTTAGGGAACTGATCTTATTATAAGTACAGGGGAGAAGGACCAAAAAATCGAAATGCAGACTAGAACCTTATTTGCACTGGCTTGGGTCTATCAAAATGTGATGGGATTTTCTGCAAACAAAAATTCTATACACACTCTAAAAGCATAGGAGTCCAGTTGCACATTGGGAACATTTTTCCATGCATGTATGAGAGATATTCCCAATGTGCAACTGGATTATATAACAATTAGCATTACTATATGCCATTTCTAATAACCAAATTTGCTTAACTAAATGACTTAGTGCTTTGTGTTACGGTGGATAAAATACTAAAATGATGAAATAATGAAATATTCTAAGTATACAGTAATCTACCCAACTTCAAGCAGGAGCCCACAACCTCCTAACTTCAATCGCTTCATCTCTTAAATTAGGGCTCGGATCTGCTACCCACTAGTTATCCCCACATCCATATCCATAGGATATAAGAATATATCTCTTTTCATTCATGGGGAGATGTTCCTAATACACGGTGGTGGTGTTCCTTGGATAGTACGGGTGCAACTTGGGCGAGCCCAACCCAAAATTTTATACAAGCTGTGCTTTGATTTTCAATCCTCGGATTGAGTTCGGGCCCAAGAAATCAGATATTTTTATTTTTCAGGCCAAGACTGGGCCTAACCTTTAGGTAACCCAAACCCAGCCCAACTATATGCATTTATACCACATATATATAATTTTAGAGTTGGTTCATTGACTAACCCAAGCCCAACCTGAGTGCATCAAATTACAGGGCGAGCTAGGCTCAGGTTGGGAAGATCAAGCTTAACCTCGGGCTTGGTTCAAGCTTGGGCCTTCAAGCCAAAATTTAGGGATGGGCCCAGGTTGACCATAAACCCAGCCCAACTCACCTGAGATGTGAGAACATTTCATAAGTAACAGATCCAGAGTGGTTAAACTCTGCATCTGGATCGATCCCTTGGTGGGTTAATAACCATCAGTTGTCTATTGAAAATGTTAAAACTACCCTTCAAAAGAAGACATGGTTCATTTTATTCTACCTTTAGACTGAACGGTTGAGATGTTTGAGATTCTGAACTGAGTACAACTCATGAGATTAACAAAAAAACGATAACAAAACGTGAAACAAAGAAATCAGGCAACCCCATTAGTTGTTAATCATGGGTATTATAGAGATCGGCTCAATAGATCTTCATTGTCGCCTCTAACAGCCATAGGAAGTCATAGGTGAGAATATGGATGTTACCTGAATTGGTTTGTGGCCTGAAATGAGCTGTTGCGGAAGGGGAGATATAGTTTTGCTTCATGTCGAACAGGCTTCCTGAACAACGATGTCGGTCAACTCTTTCAATCAGAGGTTTGTTGGGTTTTGTTTGGAACCGAAAAAGGGAAGTTCATGACTAGAGACTGTTATGTTTGATCTTGCTCAAATGGTGAAGATGAAGAACGAGGGAGACCAGTGAGGGGTTGGGAGACCGGAATGTTGAATTAAGTAGAGGGGGTGGCAGTCGTTGAAGATGAAATAGGGAGGAGGTGGTTCTAACCTGTTGGTTTCGTCTAAATCTGCCCCTGCAAAAGGGACGAAAAGAACAGGGGAGTGGAGAGGGAAAACGGGACAAGGAAAGACAAAATGAGGAAGAAAGATGGTTAGGAGAGATGGTGAAGAGTGATCGGAGGAAGGGGAGTATTGCCGCTTCTCTGTTCAGTGTCGAGAGGAAAAAGATGAACAGTTAAAATTTCCGCCCCCTTAAACTTGAAACTTAGTTTTGAATTTATAATAAAGCATAGTCCATAATCTCTTAAACAGTTATGTTTTCAGGGTTTCCTCTCAAGATTAATCTCATGAGTTATACCCAGTCCAAAATCTCAAACACCTGAACTGATTTAGTCTCAAATTAGAAGACAATAAATAATGTCTTCTTTTGAAAGACAATTTTGGTAATTGACAGTTGATTAACAGCAAGAACCACTTTGACACTTTTCGAAAGTTTAAATACTGCAGTGACACGTTTAAAAGTTCGGATACTGATTTGACACTACCCCAAAGTTCAGGCTATTAAAGTGAAATTTACCTTAAAAAAACAGAAAAAAGGGTGTGCAAACATAGGAAAAATGCCAACATCAATGCACAACCAGGAAGCACATAAAGCGAAAACTAAATCACAAATTCAAAGACTACAGAGTAAACAGGACCCAGGACTCCAAGCGCAAGATTCTTGGCTTAGAGTTTAGCTTTGAGTCAATTGCAATTTCTATTATAGTGATGAACTGGCGATCCAATGAACAGAGAACAGTTTGAACAGTCGAAGCAAAATGAAAGAATTTAAATCAAGTGACTCCCGAACGCACCTTGTGCCAATTGGTACATACAATACCAAATTCATGGGTCATGGCTGCCCGTAGGGGTGTCGACTGGTTTTGGATTCGACCCCTCCAAATCAAAATCAATTTAGACGTTTAGACGGATTGGACAAACCAATAAGACATATTGAATTGAACCAGTCCAGACTTGGTCCAAAGTACTTAAAATTGGACCATCTGTTATGGATTTATATTGGATTGAGTTGGATTAATATCCAGTCCATTGAGAGAAGAAAGTGTCAACAGACCAGGTTTGGGTTAGAACCAATCTAAATTAAAATCAGTTTGTTCAAAATATTCATTAGATTGGATTGGATCTAATGGACTCAAATTGGACCAGATCAGATTGGACCAAATCCGGTCCAATTGACACCCACAAATGATTAAAAATTCAAACTAATTGATAGAACCATCCTCTTACAAGGACACATTTGGTTATGCATAGATGTCAAAGAGTCGGAGATGGATCAAAAAAGACATAGGTTGACATAGCAAGAAATGATTTGAAGGCCTATAACCTAACCATGGGCATGGAACTGAATAGAAAGGAATGTCAAAACAGGATTCACTTACTGTGGTTTGGTCTGAGTTGGGCTACAAGATCACAATTCACTTCCTGTGCTTGGGAACATTTGGCTTCAGTCAGACAGGCTTAAACTGCATCCAGAAGTGTGCAAAATTTGGTCAATTGCTCCTCTTGATGAATTATGCCAACAGAACCCCAGAGGACAAGACACGCTCCCAGGTTGGATAAATGATTGAAATCACTACTACATCTATGCCTATAATAATGTATCCCATAAAAAATGAATGCCCACAAAACACAGATGATTTATCATCTTATTATCAGTGCCTCGTGGCCATGAGAATCAAATCTACAATTTCATTGTTCTACATATAATGCACAGAAGGGTAGATTTCCTGCTTACACAAACTAAAATTGAAAGGAGGAAGTTAAAAGCATATAGACAGAGTGTTAAAGCTTGCGCCATCATATTCCATACACATAATCATATGGGGATAGCAGAAATGCAGCAAAGCTTTGCAGATCACGACAATATCAAGCGAAGGATCTCCCCTGAGTACTTGAACGATTTTTCCGTTTCTTCCAAACAATGGTTCTTCTCTTCTCTAGACCAGCTCTGGTGAAACCATAAACATTCATAAATGTATTGCATTAGAATTATCTATGACTTGTCCAGTTTGCTATTAAAAAAATTCTGAAGCATTATAACTAGAAACTTGCCTCAGCAACTTTGTTGAGTTTGTCTCTCACATTCTGCAAAAGCACGGATAATTCACCATCCCACTTATAGAACTCCAACTCTTTGTTATTAAGTATCTTCTCGGTCACCTAGAAAAAATGGATGAAAAAGAAAGTTAGCACAAGAACATAATCTTTCATCTAGTTAAAAGGCCAGTATTGATGCTAAAAGTTATTTTCTGAAATGGTAAATTTACTTACAGAAAGATGAAAAAAGAACTATTGACTATGGCCCAAGAGAATTTTAAATGGGGAAGGAAGTGGGAGGGAGGGGGAAGACAATTATGGGAAAAAATTATTTTCCTTGTAGATGCAGCAATTGGATAGTTTTTCTGCCATATTGATGGGTGGTGACATGACAGATCCAAAACATTCAGCCTCATCAGACATTCCATTTACATTTTGCTAACGTATAATAGCTATTAATTTCTATAACTTTATTAATGGCATTGGTGAAGAAAAAGGACTCCCTTTATGAAGTGGCAAAGGGTCATTGGGCTGAAACATTCCAAAAATAGAAAGTGGGAGCGGGGAGAAACAAGCAACCCATTTCGGAAAGCCACTTCAACTTCCATGTGTTCATGGGGAGGCATGCCTACATGTCTGCATGCTTGATACTTTTCTCTTGACTTACCTTTCTGCCAATCATCCTTCCCCCAGCAGAATGGGCAAAGTAGATATTGTAAAAGTGACAGAGGAAGGCTTGAGGATCCTTCTCTGATAAGTCTTCAAGATAATGAGCATAAGATACCCCAGGAGATGATGGTTCTGGAATGATATGGCCTTGCCCCTTGAACCACTCCAAATCCTTGGTTAATTTCTCAGACCTTTCCAAACCAGTATTTCTGAACTCGGCATCTGAAACAAAGCATCAAGAAGGCTTAGTTATGTGACAAATTGTTGAATCAAAAGGCTTAGAGACACAAGAAATATATGGTACTTAAATTTAACAAGTTTCAAGAATTGGAGTATCTTCTTGAAGAGATAAATTCCCTACATAGATCAGACGACATCATTCACCCCCAGCCTTACCAGGTAAAGCAAGTTGCAACTTGTAAATGGAATTTTGTAGTTAATGGCGTGCTACCAATATTAATTTTTTTTTAGAGACGTAGTTCACCTGAACCAAAGCTAATACTAGGTCATCCTTCTAAACTAGACAAAGAGAGTTATTTTATTGATGCAACCCAACTATAGCTATCTATTCTGCAGATCTCTAAAGTGTTAGGAAAAAATTGAGGTGGGGAGGGTGAATGTGGGATTCAATCCCAGGTTAGTAGGAAATACCTCTTATGACCTTACCAGATGAGCCAGCTGCACCTTCACAATCAGAAAAATCATTCATGAAACCTAGGTAAAGATAACTTAATTTGGCACTTTCATTCCAAAAGTGTTTTGAACAACTGGAGTTCTAGGCAAATTAACTACTATCAAACTTGTGAGACCAAAACGAGTCAAGGAAATGTCCAATTACAACCCTTTGGATAAACTACTGATTGCTTATGCTAATATTTGACTAAATGTTCAGAAGCTGTACAAACAGGATAATTGCTAATCCCTTGATGACTTAAACCTTGGAATCTACATGACAGCTTCTAGCTACATCATACATGCACGTGTATTTATGCCGCCATAGTTGTCAGTATCAAGAAAACAAACTACCAAAGATACCACGTATTTGAATGAGCTTCTTTTACCAAATAATACAGAAACCTCTGACCTTATTGACAAGCCTCACAATTATCTCCTTCAGGACTCTATCATTTGCCTCCTCTAAGTCAATCAAAATCATGTGAAGATCCTTTCAGTTCTCTCTAAATTTCTGAATCAAGCAATGAATTTAAAAAGCTGTGTTGAAATGGTTTCTAGGTGCACTCAAATTACCCATTGAACATTTACTCTCTCTCTCTCTCTCTCTCTCTCAAGGTTTCAAAATATGGAAATTAGCCATGAACATTGATGCAAAGCCTATATATTTCCTCCATTGTTTTACAATTGCCATGGAGCTTTCTCTGTTCACTTAACATTTCCTTTGTCCATGTGATCTAAGTGCACTCATGCATTTCCGATCCTTCATCGAAATATCAAATCCATGTAGTCTACACATATCAATGTATAAATTCCAGAGTTGAAAGAAACTGTAGTAACAGGGCATGAGTAGGGGTATGTTGTATGAGGTATGTGTTGGATCAGGTATACCAATTCATCAGGATTCGGAGAATGCATCTACAGAATAACTTCAACCAGTCTTCAATATGAGGGTTTCCATAAAAATCTATTGTTCTAATAATAAAATATCATTTCAGCTTCAGCTATAAGCTTTAAGGTTTGGAATCTGTAGACTGCCTCTTTTGCATTGCAACATCAGCTATAAGCACTGGACAGTTATTTTTCAAAGCTCTGGGGTAAGTGGATGCATGCCAGAATCGGTTGAGTCTTATTATTCAGAAGCTGGTATGTTTGTTCTCTCAGCAACTGAGGCAAGCTTTTTTGGGGAATTTGCCCCGCTGCAATAATTTGGGCCACCTGGGGTAAAAGGAATTCTTACATTTTTGAGAACAAAGACAAGCTCCAAATATGTCGTACCGATCATAAAACTGTTTCAGGGAGTTTCATACAGCTTTTTTGTACGTGGGCTGATGTATCTATTTTCATTTTGCAATTCAATACCTTAAAAAAAACGTCATACAGAGAAGAGAAAGAAGTATGCAGGCAGTACACCGTACACGAGCTTTGAGGCCCAAGCATCAACAAATGACCCTTCTGACCTTGTTATAACATCACAATCAAGAATAAAGACCGTAGCCACCATGGCCTAGACATATCTACCTTCCCCGCCAAGATCTTACTCCACAAGCCCTCAAAAACGTCCTGAACAAGTAAACACCTATTCTGTAATAAAAATTTGTTGTATAGGCCACAAGAAAGTTTAGACCATTTTGTAACACATCTACACTGAAAACACAGCAAAATTAATATAAGTTATTGAAACAACTGCCACAACGAGCTACAAACTACCAGGAAAAGAGATTCAGCACTGATATGCTACAACAAGCTGCTCGCCATCAAATTCATTATTAATATAGCCACGACAAAATAATGTTTTTCCATATATGCAGATTCAATTATCTTCCTTTCTCTCTATGCAATAAATGAAAAAAAAAATCTAAACTCAAAATCCAAAAGTACCAAGCACCTATCAATGCGTAATAAGAAGAGAGGAGGAAAAAATAGAGAAAAAAAGTATCTAATATTTGAAAACTGAAGAGAAATGGAAAGAAGAAGAGCAAAACAGGGATAGTTGCAAAAAAGGAAACGAAAGGAAGAATATTCCAATAAGCAATCCAACAGCTGGTCGAAACGTCTGTCATATGTTGACCTATGAAATACTAAAATTGCTAATGGACACCAACACCAGACCTCAATCCATTAACCATGACTTGAGCAAAACCCAGAACTCCAAATATATTTTATAAACAAGTGAAGTACATCAAAAGAATTCTGTAAAAGGCGCCAACAGGAATCGCAATTAGCCCAAAACGATCTCTCTTAACACTCCGACAAAACCCAGTTATGCAGTCAGATGTCAGAGCCAATCTAAAAGCATACACACTCAATACAGATTAATCGAAAATAAGAGATGGGTCACTCAGCAAATTCCAGGAAAACAGTTATACAGCTTACATGAAGGATATGCAGCCTTCTGTACGATGGACTCCAGCGTATCATAAACGAATTTGCTATCCACAAGAAACCTGAGATACCCTTCGATGGAAGGTTCCCATTTGGCTATGGGCTTACCCTCCGGCTCCTTCTCTCCTTCTTTTGCTTGATCCTTGGTATGCAATTTCATGGCGACAAACCGCATTTCCTCCACAAATCCCTTCGTCTCTCCCGGGTATCGTTTTTTCGGCTTCTCAGCCGTGGTTGCGGAAACAACAACACTCTTAAAGGGCATCTTTGCTCGCCCACGACCACAACTCCTCCGACTTAGAACCTTGGATTGAAAAAAGGTGTTCTTGAGAGAAACAGACGCGAAACTGGTCTGAACTCTCCCGGCTCTCAAATGGGTTTCATTCAAAAAGGGCTGAGATTGAGATATGCGTATTGCATAAGCCATGGGAGAGATTTGGATTGGTAGAGAGATTCTGGGTGCTCACGAAATCAAATAAACAAAGACTTTTAGCTATCTATATGATTACAAGGAACAGAAGCCAGAGAGAGAGAGGAGACGTGTTTGTCTTCAATGTCCAAGTTCACTTACTCTTTCAACTTGAAGACGAAGGGATAAACGAGAAATGAGAAATAAAGTATTCAGTGAACCGGCTTTCTCTTTGGATTTCTTCCCGATCTTCTGTTTAAACGTTGCAATCAACGCACTATTCTCTCTTTTTTTTTTTGCTTCACACTTTCCTCTCTTATTAATCTGGATTATGATACAAAGTAATCTCATAAATGATAAAACTCCTCGGTTCTCTGCTCGTTAGATTGGGATCTGCATAATATAATACCCATGATGACACGAGCCCCCCATGATTTTGTTCCATTTGTCCAGTAAAATTCCATGTGGGCACTTATCACATAGTGGCCCGATTCTTTCTTCCCATGGTCTCGCTGGGTCCCACGGTACGGGTGGTGGAGCAGGGAGGGTAGCCATGGACCATCGGATAAGCGTAGGCCAAAATACATGTGTTAATGGATTCTAATGGAACGAAGAAAATCAAGAAATAATAAGTTGTCTCAACTGGACACCTGTCAGGAGTGGTCTAAATTTATTCTACGTGGCAGTCGGAAGACGACCCAATTCAAAGAAAGCCAGAGCATGACCATCCGTATTAAGTACGGACAGGTATACTGATCAATTATTTTGACACTTATTATCTATATTATAAATTTAGTTAACTAAATTAGGCCTATCCGTTGTTTTTCGAATTTTTATTTGATATTTTTAAAATAAATTTTATTTAATTTAAGAGATTTAAATCAAATTATATTTAAAAATAATAATTAGGGAGGAAGGCAACGGAGCAGGTTTTTGGAGGATTTGTAAATTGTAGAGCCTTATACCCCATCTCAAAACTTGTAAGTTATAACAGCTTGGATTTTATGAATCCAAACCTTTCTTATACGTAAAAATGCAAAAAAAAATCCCATCTTACTCTTCTTTTACTGCATTAAAGGGTAAAGCAGGTTAGGTTTAAAATCAGTATCTGATTTTTTATTATTGAGTATTTATATTTAAATAGTAAATAAGTAAAATAATATAAATAAATAACAAAATTTTTAATTATTTGATTAAGACATGTAAAATATACAATGTTTTCAAATTGTCATTGACCTGGCCGACCCAACACAAGAACCGCCCAGACGGTTCTCTTTTACTCCAAACGTGATCCTTAAGCAAAAATGATTGAATTGGTCAATGATTCATTGACCCAAGTGATTGAACCGTTGACTCGTTCAACCTGTTCAATAATTTTTAGCTGTTTTATATTTTAATTATTTTTGATGTGGAGTGATTTGACCCGACCTCCTAACCAGGGGGCACGTGGACATGATTCGACGTAAATGACAGCTCAACATGATAGCTTGGCCACAACTCGGCGTAATGAGCTCGTTGAAAATCCAGCATGAACAGCTCGCTACAGCTCGTTGCAAAACGACTTGTCTGGCGGCGCAGCACCTACCAGTCCAGAGGACTGCGCCCACGTCTCATGTCAGGTGGTGTCGTGCACGCCAGCTCGGCATAACGTCTCTCAACTAACAGGACCGTACTCTGCGACGATTACCTGCACTAGTCAAATCAGTATGGCGAATAACGGCTGTAGCAGAGAATCAAAGGCGATTACACCCGATTTGACAGAGCATCAGTATATAAAGGCCCCGATTTCCAAGGGGCAAAGGTAATTTAAAAATCGCGCATCTTCACTCTTAGCATTTATTACTTCGCAACTCTCTTAGTTTTTCTGCCGAATTCTAACTTAAGCATCGGAGTGTTCCCGCCGGGCGAGCTCCCCAGGAATCCTTCGTTTTCTTCTCCTTCTCAGGTGTTGTCCGTTGCCAGATAGGAGCGAGGCCCTCTCCAGCTAGGAGTGACCAGATCACGCTACGTCAATTTTTTTTTTTTTTATTTTTTTGTTAAAATGGGCCGCCTATTTAAACAGTCAACCCAAAAGCTAGTGGTCATAACGGTTTCGATTCTAGATCGATTTTTAAAACATTGAAAAAATACATAAAATATCAATTATTATACACATAAAATTCAAAACTCATTCCCACCCAAACAATATGCAAGTTGGAGAGTGTCAGCTTTAGCCTGATATGGTAACCCTACCCATACCTGTACAGCTTGTAAATTCCCAAAAGTCATCCCCACCCAAAATCCATCTTTCAAGTCAAAAAACCCACCCAATCAGGGCAGGTAGGGGTGGGGGTGGGTGCCCATCGGGTAGAGTAAAAATTGCCACCCTAATAATAACCTATTTTATCGATCCTACATAATTTGAATTGTTTTTTTTTTATTTAATAGAATTAATTACTATTAATCTTATTTAAAGTAGAAGTAACTACCATTTGAAGCTCGTTTTTTTTATTATTTTAAATTTGAGAATGATAGATAAATGTCTAAAGAAGAATGCTTCTATTTGAGTAGGAATAACCACTCTTTTGATACTCTTTTAAAAAAGTATGACGCACTTGTCTAAAGGAAAAGCCCATTAATAGATAAGATCCTATTCAATTTTGAATATCAACAAATCAATTTTGGGTAATACCTATGATCTATCATCCATTTGCACCCTACCCCAAATAATAAAATCTTTTTCATGTTTCCATCAATACCACATGCATACAACAGGATGCAAAATGTGGTGTGGCTATACAAAATTAAATCACCCGTTGATATAGGCATGCCAAATTGAATCACCTTTAGTGTGCCCATATCAAATTAAATTGCCCAATGTTCACTTTTAGACATACACACTTACATGGACACACATAGGGGTGTTAATGGATTAGTTTAGGGTTGGACCTTGTCCAAATCAAAATCAATTTAGATGGATTGAACAGACCAATAAGACATATTGAATTGGACCATTCCAGACTTAAGTCCAGAATATTTATTGGATTGGATTGGACCTTGTCTATCCATAATGGTTTTATATTAGATTGGGCCAAATTGAATCAATATCCAATCCATTGATAAAAGATAAGAATGCAGATGTCAATGGACCAGATCTGGGTTGGAACCAATCTAAAACAAAACCAATTTGAAGAGATTTGATGGTCCAGACATCAAATTGTATCAGCCCAAATTATTTATCATATTGGATTGGACCTGGTCCATCTGAAATGGACTCATATTGACCCGGATCAAATTGGACCAAACCCAATCCCATTGACACCCTATATGTCGATAAATAGATAGATAGATATAACACTTTTAAGTAGGGATGATCATGTATGACCTTCTTGCCCTGCCCAGGTAACTAGCCCGGGCATCTATCAAGGCCTAGGTCCAGCCAGCCAGAAATTGTTTATGTATACAATATACATAGTGGATATTTTATACATTTGGTTTAAAATCTTACATATGTGTATACGTACATGTTATAATATATTAACAAATATAGCATAAAACTTTAGATATATTTTTTGTTGCAATTTTGATTATAAAATAAATTAAAAATTTAATTTCTAATAGATAGATAGAACCATTTTTCCCTGAGTCATGGATCACTAGTTCAATCAAATGGGTTGAATTAATCAACACATATATGTATATATGTGTGTAATATGCATACTAATATTAATTATATACTTATATTAAAAATAATTAATTATTTTTGCATATAAAATTAATAATATCTTTTATTTTAGTTTTAAACTTTATACTAAAACTTATGATTTGGAGCAAAAAAAAAAAAAAAAAACTTTTTTGGCAAAAATAGTGAGGCAAGGCACCTTCAGTCCTTGGGATACATAGATCAAGAAAAAGTACTCAAATAGAAGAGATCACTCCAATTGGATAATCAAGTGCAAAGTCATGGCCTCCAAAACTTAGGATATAAGTTTAAAAATGAATAAAAACCAGCCATTCTTTATCACCTCTTGATTTTTAGGACATGATCAAACTAGAAAATGGATTGATTCATATTTTTTTCAGCCAAATCTGCCAATTCGATTTGGTTCTATAAACATTGATAGATACTATTAATTATATATATATATATATATATATATATATATATATATATTACATAAGCATGTATGCTTGTTTGTAAAAATGCAGTTGTGCATGATAAATCTATCATTGCATACATGTATTTTTGTATATATGTATGTATTTATTTTTTTTGTATATTTGTATATGTATATATGTATGCATGGTTTTCAAAATTAGACCAGAATGGATGGTCGGACCAAAACAATCAGGAATTGATCAAGTAACCAGTTTCGTTTTACCATAAAACCACTTTTTTGCCAAAAACCATTGATTTGATCTGCTGACCTGGGCAGTCAAACTATTGACCCAGAAAATGGTTTTGGCCATTTTTTATTTTTTTATATTTTAAGTCAAAATGGGTTGTCCATCCAAACCAGATGATCACACCATTTGACCTGAGAACTGGTCCCCAGAACTGTTCCCTATCTGATCCAGTTTTGAAAACCTTGTATGTAATACGTATGTATCCATCATATGTGTGATTATTTATAAGTATGTTAGGTAAAATTTATCTAATTAAAGCATGGCAATTCTGTCATTTTATATATAATGTCAAAATTAAATTCACCACTACCCTTTCATTTTTGGAAAAAAGAACATTTGACAGATAGAAGTAGAGAAGTTGGGCCAACATGAACGTAGCCAAGTGCAACTCAAACCCAGACCGATCCTAACTTCAGGTTAGGTAGGGTTATATTTGGGGGGGTCAACAACTCAGGTTGGGTTAGGGTCATGTTTCGGAGTGTTCAACAACTAAAGTTGGATTAGGGTTGACCTCAACCCGATCTAACCTGGGGTGAATGTGGGGCCAACCTAGGGGTTAAGTGGTAAACCAGCATTCACCCAACCCCTAGGTTAACCTTCAACGGGCTTTGGGTCGGGTTTGGATTTTAGCCTTTAGGTGGCTCCATGCTGAACACAACCCATTGCCGTTGTGCATTGAAAATTTTGTAAATATAAGCTTTGTTTACTCTAGGTGCTGGGATGAAGAGGGTTGGGTTCGATATCCTCTCTTTATTTGGCTGGGTCAGGTCATGTTTTGGTTAAGGTTGTAATGGGTTGAGGCAAATTTGTGTTGAACCTGACCATTGACATCGTAAGAGAGTAT